CCCCCCCTCTCCCTCCCTCTTTGTCTCATCAATCAAGGCCCCCCACCCCATCCCCCCATGAGTGGATGGATGGACGGATGGATGGATGGACAATCAAGCAATGCCCTTTCCTTCTCTCCTCACACAGCCGGTTGGCAAAAGACTTCGGCTTGTGTGGTGGTCACTGGCAGGCAAGCAGCCCCCACCCCCTCACTACAGTGTATGCAGCCATGTGAGGGTCCATACAAGGTGTGCGTGCACAAAAGCAAAGACGGCATGGCATGGTGTAGCGTCGTGAGTCAGATGCGTCAGCCAGGCGCCGGGGCGGGAGAGAAGATCTCAACTAACTGGCCAGACAGAGAGACAGACAGACAAGACACAGACATACATTGTGGGGCTTGATGGCGTGTGCCGTGTGCCGTATGCAGCAGCATACCCGCACACAGACAGAAAGAGGCACACACACACCGACAGCGAGAGACATGCACAGAGATACACACAGCCGCGCCGCACCAACGAACAGACAAGGAAAGAAACAAAACAGTTTCTTCTCTCAATTGCCCGGATCACCTAGCTGACGACCGACCGGCATGGCACGTATGCATCTACACACCCCACACCCATTACCCAACACCCCACTAAGCCATCCCCTGCCCTCCTCTTCCCTCCCCTGCCGGCGCGCGTGGCGCGTGGCGCGTGGCGCGTTGTTGCTGAAGTGTCTGTCCTTTCTTTCTGCACGTCTGCAGTCTAGCCACGCACATACATACACACATGGATACATCTGATGTCAATCAAGAGACGGAAAAAACCGGCTCCCTGCCCGACCGGCTCGAAAGAAACAAAGACTGACTCACTGACGGACTGACGGACTGCGATATGCTATCGTCCCCCCCACCCCTCTCTCTCTCTCTCTCTCTCTGCCCACCCACCACACGGATCCATCATCGAAGCAACCACACACGCGTGTAAGGCTGGCTGGCTGGATGGATCCACGGATATCTGCACAGATGGATGGATGGATGGATGGCATGTATGTGGTGTACACGGCGGCTGAGTGAGTGAGAGAGCCCCCGAGGCCCTGTCCTGTGCGTAACGCTAGAGGGCCCCTTGCTCCCTCCCTCCCTCTCACCCGCACCCACACCCACGCCAGCGCCCACAGCCGGGTCAACATCATGTGTGTACGTGTGTGTGTGTTTGTCTATCTAGGGCTATACAGAGACGGCAGAGGAACGCACCAGGCAGGCAGGCAGAGAGGCAGACACACAGGTGTTCCATCCATCCATCCATCCTTGTCTGTACACTCTACAAGAGCCTGACTGACTGACAGACACACACACACACACACAGAGAGAGAGAGAGAGAGGGCCATACAAGAGAGAGAGAGAGAGGGCCATACACACCCACACTCACGCGCGCACGCACCCATGCAGGAAGGGAAGGATAGGATATGCACACAAATGGGCGGACAGGCGGAGTAGCTAGCTACAACGGAATAAAACAGAGGCGAGCCCAAATGATATGCGACCGTACATCCCTCCACATAGACAGACAGACAGACAGACAAGACAGAAAAAGCGCCTCTGGCTTGGCTTGGCTTGGCTTCCTTGCTTGGCTGATCTTAAGCAGAACAGCTCACTCACGCTCATCCACTCACAATCAAGACAAGACACACATGACATGGCAGCTAGCTAAATGTACCGACCGACCGACCGACCGACCCCACACAAACCCCGCCCACCCACCAGGCGGCCATCTGTCCACTTTGTCGATGATGATGGATGGAGGGTGGCGACTTCCCGTTGCACCCTCACCGCCACCTCACACGCGCGCGCCCCACCGATCATTCCTCGTACATGATGGGCTGGCAACGGCGAAGCTCTGCCACAGACACACACACACACACACAGAGACAGACAGACAGACAATGTGACTGTGTCACCCTCCCGTGTCTGTCTGTCTGTCTCTCCTTCTCCTTACCGTCGCCCTGCAGGTGCATGGACGTGCACGCCACCATATCCAGAAAAGACGACTGCCGCCCCACTCCCGCCCCCTTGCTGTGCTGTGGGTGTGGGTGTGGGTGTGGGTGGGCAGCAGGCGGCCCCGGCTGCCGCACGCCGCACCACACGCCAGCCAGCAGAGGAAATGGCGCGGGGCTGCCCTGCGGGGTCGTGCTCGTGCTGTGCGGGTGCGGGGGAGGGTGGGGCGGCACGGGCGACGACGCGCTGTTGGCCAAGGCCACGAGCGTCTGCAGCGGCACCGAGATGCTCCTGCTGATGTCAGTCTTGGTGGTGGTGTGTGTGTGGGGCGGCGGGGGCGGGGACGGCACGGCAGCCACGGTCGTGGTCGTGTTGGTCGTGTGGGTGGACATCGTCGAGGTGGATCTGCTGGGCGGGGTGCCCGTCTGCGAGCCGGCGATGGTGGATGGGGTGGAGGGGTAGAAGGGGTGGTGGGGGTGGCTGAGCGTGGGGGAGCCCGTCGACGAGGAGCACGCCGAAATGATGCTGGGGTCCACCGTGACGGCCAGGGGATGAGGATGCCGCTTGGTGTTGATGGGCGCCAGAGGCACCGACTGCTGCACGGTAAGGGTAGGGGGAGGGGGCAGGGGGGGCGCGGCGGGCGGCTGCTGCTGCTGGTGGTTGTGGTTGTGGTACACCATCGCCCCGTCATGCTGCTGATGCTGCAGCTGGTGAGACGGCGGCTGAAGGTGCGGCTGCGCCAGGTCGTCTGCCTTTCCGCCCCCACTGCCGGCGTCCCCCGTGGCCGTTGCCGTCTCCTCCATGGAAGCAGGGGAGTCCATCGACCTGTTGGAGCCCTCCCCATCGGTGCCCGTCGACACGTCGCTCGCTGGCGCACCAGCACCCACGCCATAGGGCCCGTGACGATGCGGCACCACAACCGTCGGGTGGGGCGGTCGTGGGTGTGGATGAGGGCCAGGCACCACCACAGCGCCACCATTGCCGCTGCCGGCGGTGATGGGTTTGGTCCTTGGGGTGGGGTGTGCGGATGGGGCGGGTGAGTGTGGGTGTGAGAGGCTGCCATTGACAATGACATTGCCACCAGTGGGGCCCTGGATGTCTGTGGTGTGTCGGTATGGGTTAGCGAGGTTGAGCAGGCCGGGATTGGGGGGCATCTCCTTGCGCGCCCGCAGCTGAGACACTCCGTGGGCAAACCGACACTTGTTGCCGTTCAGACACCGACCTACGAAACAAAGCAACACACAACACAACACAACACAGCAGAGAGCGACAGACACATTCGGGCGTGCTGTCGCGGTCACCACACCGGCTCACCTACCTTTCCGGTAGAAGAAGCATAGTGAGGTTTTGTAAGCGAGCAGCTCGGTGGAGTTCCTGAGGTCCTCCTGTGTGTGGGCGTACTGGCAGTTGGGAATGCCGCAGGGCACACCCTTGGTCACCGACTCACACAGTTTCGTGTTCTGCAGATTCGGAAGCGGCCGCATCTCGTCCTACACAACGTTGCAAAACACAAACACACAAACACAACACAACACAACACGGCAGGCACACAGAGCGTCGATCAAAGCGATGCCCTCCCTCACCCCCTCTCTCTCCGTGCGTCTGTCTGTCTGTGCGTCATGTGCCCGGACCCACCCACGCACCGACCCACCGACCGAGCGACCTACCTGTGAGTGTGCGTATGTGCATCTTGGTCCCGACGCACAGTGCCCCTTGAGGTAGAAGGGGCACATCTTGGTCTTGATGAACTGCTCCTTCATCCTGGATGGACGGCCGGATCAAGGAAGGGGAGGGAGAGGACTCGACCAAAACCTCTCTCACTCCTCCAGTCAGTCTCTCACTCACAACTAAGGCTGTACACGATGGGCTGCACAGGGGAGGGAGGGGGAGGGAGGGAGAGGGGGGCTCGGCCGCCGCTCACGTAGTCACCCAGTCACTCAGCCCACTCACGCACGCACTGTGCTCTCTCTTCTCAGCTCTCTCTGCTGTGTCGGGTTGGCCCCTTGCGCCAACACGCACACAACAACAAATACCCGACACACAAACCTGGACACACACACCACACCACGGCAGAGACCTCTGAGGAAAGACAGCACGACGACGCGCGGCTGGGGGGAGGTGGAGTGTGTCTACCTACTGGCTGGTCGGTCGGTCTCACGTGCTCCCCCTCGTTGTCCCCATCAGCGCCGCCTTCAACGAGTAGTCCAATCCTCCCTCCACGCGACGACACACACAAACGGCTCTTTCAGCCAGCCACGCACAGCAACAGTAGTGAGTGATCACAAACGAACGAGATACAGAGAGAATCAGTCCTGTTGTCCTGTTGTCGTCTTGTCCGGACTTTGCTTGTGTCCCGGTTCTTCCGTTCCCAAAAACGGCCCGCCGAGCGATCCAGCCGTTGGTGATAGAGAGTGGAGGAGAGAAGCGGGGGAAGGAAAAGCCTTCCTTCTTCGACTGCTGCACACGCAAGGAGGCGTCGCCTGCGTCGGCCCGTGGCTCTCAAGGACTCAATGTCTGACGTCTACTATTTTTGTCCGTCCGTGTCGAAATAATGGGCATGCAGATTGACAGACATCAACTCCTTCGTATACGTAAGCTGTACACACACAGACGTACATATCCACGCATACATACATCATGATGCATCCATCGGTTTGGGAAAGCCATGCAGCTGTACATGTCATGTCATGTAGTCACGACCACGCATCAGCAGCAGTAAGGTGAGGAAAGTAAAAGGAGTCAGTCTTTCGACAACAAACGACTCGCATCGCATTATCGATCGCATCCATGACTCATCTCTTCTTCTCCTTCTGCACAAGCCCCACAAGTAAGTCACAACCCACCCAAGACAAGAAAAGGATAGATCTGATTCAGCCGATCAGCTCAGCCGTCATCTCCGACCACTGTGGACCCGCCTTGCGGCTCGCCCGAGAGCGATGAGCTCGATGAGGAGAAGATGGAAAATGCTCTGCAGCGGGAGAAGGTCAGCCCGCCGCACGAAAGACTGCCGAGCACAAAGCAGATGCACTGCACGGCACCCACACGCGCACACAGTAGAGAGTGTCAAGGCGCATGTCCAGTGGGTGGTGTGAATGAGTGTGAGCGTCTTTGTTTAATGGCTGACCGTGACGATCAGTAGGATAAAGAGGTATGACTTGAAGCTCTGCCACCAGAGAGAGCGCTTCATCGCACGACCGGCCATGCGAAAACGGACACTCTGACAGACAGACAGACAGACAGACAGACAGCCACAAATAAAGGTAAAGCCTCCCTCGATCGGATCCGCCAGCGTACGTTGCATACCTCTCCCTTGAGGAGCTCAGTTTTCCCCATGAGCGACTCGATCTGCTCGCCACGCTCCATCACACGCTCTACACACGCATACAGGTGTCGTAGATACACGCTCGCACGGTGCTTTGAGTGGTGAATGCCTCCTTGGCTGGCTCCCGTACGTATGTTGTCCTTCATGATGTCGGTCACGTCGTCCAGCTCCCTCTCCACCTTGTGGATGCGATTCAGACCGAAATTCTGGTTGTAATCGTCCTGACGCACACACGCGCGCACAAGCACAGCACAAGCCAAAAGATCCATTGCACCACTTCTGCAGAGCCATATGGTGTGCTGGCTTGGTGGTGAGCGGCTTGACCATGAGCGACTTGACCATTCTGGTCAGTTCCGCCGACTTGGACGCCCCTCCCATCGCAGGCCGCTCATACTCGCGACGAAACTTCTCGCGCAAGTCATCCTGAACACACCACGCCGCTCAGGCAGGCGAAAGAAAAAGTCTGCTATGGCGTGCCGTGTGTGTGTGTATGGTATGTGTTCGCAAATTCGCTCACTAAAAACTGGAAGGGTACTTCCGAGCCCGCCTCGGCGCTCCCCACACACATGTAGATCAGCTCATTGTCCACCAGCTGCCAGTGCGCCACACACACACACCCCAGACAGACAGACAGACAGACTCACGCCCGCCGTGCGCATCCGCATACAAAAGTGCTCGCAGACTGTGCTTACGTAGTTGAACGTTTTCGACTCGTACACATACGTCCGGCGCCCTCTCGCCCGTGGCACCTTGCCCAGGACCTTCCTGCACCAACCAACAGCCAGCCAGCACAGCATCCATTCAGCTGGCGTGTTGCGCATGTGTTTTCATCTATGTGATTGTGAGTGCTTGTGCGTGAGTGCGTGTCATTCTTCCTTCCTTCTCTGTGCGTGGCTTGATCCATGCATGACGCATGCGGCTCACCTCGACACGTCAAGGAGGTTGTCTACAAGGGCGGAAAACTCGCACAACACGAAGGTGCCCTTAGCCACAAGGGCATGAGTAATGTGCATCGAACCTCTGCACCTTCCCCTTTTCTCCTCTACAGATTTGAGCTCGCCACACAATTTGAGCTTGCACTGAGAGGGCGAGCGTCGAAGCATCGCAGCGACTTCGTTGCTCCCCTGATGTCAGATCCGTCGTCGCCTCTTCAGCCGGATGGTTCGCGTTTCTCAATGCAGCCTCCCCGGTGGCTGTCGGGTCCCCTCAGCTACCTGCTGCCCGCCTCACGCCCCTCCCCCCCTCCACACCAGGGGCGAGAGCAGCCCTCAAGCAGATCTCGCCAGATCCCCGCCTCCTTGTTGAATGCAGTGGTGCGTTTGAAGCCGGCAGTGGCGGCGTCTCAACCTCCCGCTGGCGGTGCGCCTGCCCCGACCGCATCCTCACCATCAGCATCAGCTGCTGACGAGAGGAGTGGCGGCGACGACAAGGGGGGCGAGGGAGGGGGTGCGCTGCCGCCGCCAATGGTGCCGCCACCCACTGATCCGTGAGTGACAACGACGTGCAGTGAATCACTCGTTCATTCATTCACTTTCTCGTTCAAGGAATGGGACGACGGGAATCAGGTCTTTGTGTGTTCTTGTGTGTTGATGTATGTGTCTGTCAGGCTGCAGCCGCTTCAGTGGGAGGCGTTTCTCAAAGAGTGGTCGCAGATGACCCAACAGGACACATTCGATGGATTCAGACTCGAGGCACAGAAGAACGTAACACACAAGGGAGGGACAGAGGGAGGCAGGCAGGGTCACTGTGCACAGACAGACAGACCACACGCGAATGAATGGCTAGCTGTAATGCCTGCAGGTGACCAAGAATCTTCAGTCGTGCCACAGTTTGTTCCTGGGCACCACGATGCGCCCCGAGGGCTACATCTACCAGTTCGGCCCCACCTTTACCACCGAGGACCAAAGCCTCTTCCTACTCGGCAGGCTCGGCACCGACGGCACACTCAACGCTAGGTACACCAGGAAATGCCAAACACACACACCCTAAACACGCAACAAACAGGCAACACATGCGCTCTTGCCTTCTCTCATTGTGTCTGTCGGTGGGTGCTCCGCGCATCGATCGCATCAATCAGGGGTGTGAAGAAGTTCTTCGGCACGACCGAGGCCAAGGTGACGGCGACGTCGAACCTCAAGGACGAGCAGCGGAACATGCTCGAGGCGGGGCTCGACCATGCCGGCAAGGACTGGACGTCCTCACTCAAACTCGCCTGGCAAGGTAGGTACCTGCCCACCTGTTTGTTTCCCTGGCTGGCTGGCTGGGTGGTTGACATCGATGTGCATGGCGTGTGTGTGGGGCTGGGTGCGGTGCGTTGCGGTGCCGTGCGGTGCAGGAACCTGGATCGTAAATGGGAGCTACACACAGGTGCGGTGTGTGAGCTTGTGCTTGTACTGCACTGGCCGTCTGTGTGTCTGTCTGTGTGTGTGTGTGTGTGTGTGTGTGTTCAGCTGATCTCCAAGTATCTTCAGATGGGAGGAGAGCTGACCTGGGTGGTGAGCGCCGCACCCGCTCACTCCCTCACTCCCTCCCTTCCTCACCGCTGCCTGTCACTCACCTCACCCCCACACACCTTTGTCGTCTGTCTGTCTGTCTCTCTGCAGTCTGCCAACGGTGCCTCCATCGGGGCAGTCGGCGGCCGCTATTTCGATGGCACACACGCTGTCAGTGGTAGGTGGACTGGACCCCCTCGCCCGTGATCTCTGAAGACCGTGTCTGTCTTGTGTGCATGTGTCGATTCGTCCATGAATCAAATCGATCAGCCCAGCTGGTGCGTCAGCCCGAGTTCGCCAAGGGCCAGGTCGACAAGAACGCACACGCGCTCAAACTCAACTTCGTCAGGAAGGTCAGTCAGAGCGGATGTCGACTGGAATCGATCCAATGAGATAAGGAATCACAGCACACCGCCCGGGTTCGCGTGGATGCGTGTCTGGATGGTGGGTGATTCAGGTGACCGATAGGCTGAGCCTGGGTGCTGAGTTTGAGTATTCCCATCCTGACGCCGAGTCGGCCCTCAGGCTGGTGAGTGAGCTGCCCACACACGCCTGGAAGCAGCCAAGCGGCGACGTGTGAATGTCTGTCTCGACATGTTTGCCTCTCTTCTCGCTCTGCTGCTCTGTCTGTCTGTCTGTCTGTCTGTCTGCAGGCATACGAGTACAACTTCAGACAAGCGCGCATCCAGGGTGGGTGGCTTGGGGGTGGCTTTGGTTGGGTGCTCGGACACGACCAGACAGGGGCAGGCAGGGTCCTTGTCCGTCGGTCGATGTGATGTGAAGCATGGAATGGACACCATCCATTCATCCCAGGCTGGTTCTGTTCTGTCTGTGTGTGTGTGCAGGTTTGCTGGACACGTGTGGCAAGGTGTCGGTGTTCGTGCAGGACTTCACGGGTTTTGGCGTGAGCGGCCTCATCGACTACTGGCAGGGCATCTACAAGTTCGGGTTCATGATGCACGTCGTCCCACCACCCGAAGGCGCACAGCAGCCAGGGGGCGGACCACCCGCACCGTCAGGCGGCACCTAGCCAGACAGACAGACAGATGGACGAAAGGGCAAGGGGGAAGGAAGATGGGTGCGCTGTCTGTGTGCGTGGGTCCTTGGACTCTGTGTCTAAGGCCGGCTCCATGATGTATGATTTGTTTACTTAGTTGCGGTGCGTGCCTGGGTTGATCGACTGACTGCTATGAAGGGCGCTGTTTTGCCCTGGCGATGAATCGAACGATCGATTGCTGAGATGGATGGCGAGCCAACGAATGCTGCTCCCGACGTGAGCATGTGTGGATGGATGGATGGATCACACACACATCGTACGTAGACGTATACAGCCCGCTTTGTGCTGAACAAATGAACGAATAACGCCGAGCACGCTTAATTCTGCCGCACACCCACATCCATGCGGACATAAGCGCCATCAAGTGCGTTGATTTCACAGCATGCGTACGTCGGCTCCATGGCACACACATGCCTGGCACACCTACAGAAATCACACTCGCTGTCACTGCTCGGAGGGTGGTCGTGGGCCGCTCTGAGGCGAAGTGGACCGCATCGCACGGAGGGCGGGAAAGATGGGCGTCTGCCTAATGTTCTGAAGAGAGACACACACAGACAGACAGACAGACAGACAGACAGAGACAGACACGCACAGACAGGCATCTTCACACCGTGCCTTTAAATATTGCGTGACTTTGCCAGCTGCTCATGGTCCGTTTCGTCCTCACCTTGAGGAAGACGTGGAGGGGTATGGTCGTGTCGTCATCGAGTGTCGTCACCGGACGCGCAAATCCAGCTTCGAGCAGCAGATCAGATGACACTGAGAAGTCCTTGGTCTTCATCCCAAGGTTGCCCAGCGCCTGACACGACAGACACGCATCAGCGACCAATGAAACAATCCGTTCGCCCCCCGACTCACCAACCCACCTCTGCGACGTCGACGACGTTGATGGTGGGCCCCTGAATGGCGACGTCTTTGGGAACGGTGCCGGCACTCAAGCGGCGCAGCATGCGGGACTGCAGGTTCTGGGAGTGCTCAGCCGCCTCCTCACCTTCCCCCGCTTCTGCTGCTTCCGCTGCCCGTGGCGAAGCTGCCACGGGCACAGGCACTGACGTGCCTTGAAGGGTCTCACGCAGCGTCTCCTGTCAACGTAGACATCCACACACAGGGGTTCCGCTCAGTCACACACACGCACTCCTTTATGTCTTCCAACCTCGGTGATTTTGAGTTGTTTGTATCGCTCGTCGAGGTGCTGGATCCTAATGGCGTACGCGAAGGGGCACAGCACGTGCAGGTCGTCGTTCAACAGCTGCACGGATGCATGACATGACACACACGTCTCTTCTCTGTGTCTCCCCCTCACTCACTCACTCACTCACTTACTCACCTCCGCCGCTTCGACGATCAGCCGGTTCGGGCCGGCTGGCAGAGCCTGCACAGACAGACGCGTACACATCAACCATCAATCGATCGATCGATCAACGACATGCGTATCGGGTGATCCTTGCTCGATTGGCTCGATCACAGTCAAGCCTGACTCCCTCACTCACTCACTCACTCACGCACCGACTGCAGTTCCTCCCAGTTGCTTCGCGGCTTGTTGTAGTACGCCTTCTGCAGCCGCTCAAAAAAAACCTTCTTGGTCATCCGGAGGCTCGCCCGCCACGGCGCAGGCGAAGCAACAGGCGGCAACAGACACACCCTGCAGCACCCACGCGCACGTGTCTCACAGGCGAGGCAATGCATGCACTGACCCGTCGTGTTGCTGTATGGGCGGCGCAGCGGTTCCCTCCGCGGCTTGGCCATCGTCTTGCTTAGCGGGTTCTGGTGAGGTGGCGGGGTTTGTTGGCGGTGCCGAGCGGTCGCCGGCGAGTCTCTTGAGGAGGTTGGAGCACAGCGACTCGTTGTCCTCCACAACCCAGTCGGGCAGGTGACCTGTAGACACATGCATCCATCCACCTATCCACCTATCCACACATTCAGAAGTGAGATTGATTCATCGACCGACCAGTGAGCAGCATGAGGAATCCGAGGAAGGACGGCTCTGCGGCGTACCGACACACGGCGTCCACCACGGACAGACCCCTACAGGCACAGCAGACGAGGGGACCAGCTTAAGAGCCCAACACCACGTAAATCCGTGTGTGGGTTGGCATAAATGATCACATATACCATTGTGTCTTGGCGCTTGGGTCTGACAGCTGGTGGGGCAGGTTGTCCAACATGTACGTGAAGAACTGCAGACAGACACAGGCTCACCCACACAGCTGAGTATACAGTGTACAGAGAGACGGACATGACGTCTCTGTCTGCCTACCGGCAGGTGTGAGTGTTTCAATTTGTGCCGTCTCTTGAGCAGCCCCATCAGGAACTCCTTCGTGACCCCACGACTCAGCCGCAGACGCACGATGGGCTCCTTGCGGCTGCACACACCAGACCCACCAACACACACCATACACCCTGTGTCATTTGGCCAGCGCCCAATCATCAGGCCCGTTTCCCTACCCTCACTCACATGAGCACGGCAGTGCCTGCCGCGGCGACACACGGAGGAAAGTCTGCAGGTCTCGCCCTGACAGCCTTGCTGCCGTCCTCCCCATCGGGCGTCCCCGGCGCCACGGGAGGAGTGAGCAAACACCTGTCGGTCTCGGTGGTCTGCACGTCCTCAGCGTCTTCGACGTCTCCCACATCGCCCCGGTCGCCGATCATTATCTGAAGCTCGGCCACCATCCTGTCGGTCTGGCCCTTGCTCGACAGCAGGGAAGAGTTTTGGTGCGCCGTGTGGACGCCGTAGGCATACACAAGAGCACGCGAACGGCGGAAGACATGGTCGAGCAGCGACTGGACCTGCAGATGGGTGAGACGGGGGAGTGTGGTGTCTTGGCTGGCTGCAAGGCCTGCTGTCACTCGCACACGCATACTCACCTCGTCTGCGCGTTGCCACGTCCTTTGCCGGTCGCTCTCGAAGGCAGAGACGATGCCTGCACAAGCATATTGATGCATCAGCCAGTCAGATAACACGGACCCGTCAGTCTGTTCTGTCCTGTATGGGGCGTGTGTACCCGAGTCTGCGATGGGTCTCCATGTAGGCCGTGGAGTGAGGCAGCGGGCCTGGTCCCTCCGGATGGCCTTCGGATCGAGGCCCACCAGCTCGCTGTAGAGTCTGGTTGCTGCATCGTAGTCTCGTTGCTGCATCCATCCATCCATCCATGAGCGCAGGTAAGCAGGTGTGAGACACTAACAAAGACGTGGACGCATCCAACCACCAACCCACACATGTCTCGCCCCTCCCTGGCTGACCGACCGACCATGGCCTGGCATTTGTCCATGAGTTCCGCGATGTGGTCCTGCTTCTGACGCAGCTTCTCCAGAAGAGCCTGCAGGCACACCATGCATGTATCACACGAAATCGTCATCCATCAGTCACCCCTCTCCTTCTTTCTCTTGCTTGCCTGGTATGTCTCTCGGTCAATGAGTTTCGATCGAGACTGCGTCTCCTCGTGCAGCTGCTCTTCGAGCGCTTTGAGGTGATTCTCGCTCTACATACATAGACGCACTTCATGAAATGCATGACATGAATGGTCGTAATAGCGCTCTCGTGACCTCTGCGAGTTTGTTCTTAAGGCGTGTGATTTCGCTCTGCTGCGCCACCTCCCTCTTTTTGATCTCCTCGACGGCCTCGACGGCCCTGCGGGAGTGCCGCACCAGCTGGTATGACTGCTCGTGCAGCTCCTCGCAACGCGCCTGGGAACTGTGGTACTGTATGTACAGATGGTAGAGAACGTGTCAGGGGCGTATACTGGAATCAATTTCCTCTCTCTCTCTCTCTCTCTCTCTCTCGCCATACCTACCTGTTCCTTCACGGTGTCGTTCTCCTCCCTAACCATCTTGAGATCTCTATCCTGCACGCCCAACCGCTTCTGCAGCCATACATGCACACCCACACCCACACCAAGTGTGGCCGCACAGAGGTAACTGGCTTGTCTTTGGCTGACCCGGGCCTCTGTGAGTTTCCTCTCCATGTCTGAGAGATTCTGAGACGCAGTGCACTGGAGTTCGCTGTACTTGCCTAGGCAGTGCATGCATCATACAGACCAAATGACCAATGCCAGACACCAGACACAGGTCTGCCCCGTATTACTTGTCGTCTCATGCTTCAGCGTCTTTAGTCGGCTCTGCAGAGCCAAGCGGGCACAGTTCTTTTAGGCTGTTCTTGTATGTATTTTCCTCTAACCTCTCCCATCTCCCTCACCTGCAGTTTGCTGACACTCTGGATTTTTGTCTCGTAGTGGTCGATCGTCGCGTGGTACTCCCTCTTGATGGCGTTCAGCACTGACTGGTACGACGGCAGGTGGGCCGCCAGGGCGTCAAAGGCACTGCTGAACACCTAAGCGCATACATGCATTTTGCATCGACGACACAATCGCCGACATGACGCAAATGTTGTGCAAGACCTGACCTGTAGCCTTGCCGGGCACGGCGGTGCCACGTCCAGGCCGTTCTCGCGCAGCCCCTACGACGAACACCAACACGTAGCAAGGGCCTGACATGTATCCCTCGGGTGTCCCCTATCCACCTGCTGGATGAACTCCGCGATTCCCTGGGCGACTTCTGCAGGCGATGGTGGGGCCTGACCGAAGAACTCCTTGCTGTGCTCTGGCTTGTATATGACCAGAGAGGAAGCCTCCAGCCGCTGGGACGCCTGCACTGAGGCACGGGCTGTCTTCGGCTCCTGTAGCGGTACAATGATAGACGGTCATCCAAAGGAACATCATGCACACACAATCAGTGACTGCATGGATGGATGAGTCTCTCGCAATCGATTGAGGTAACAGAGCAGCACGAAGACAGACAAGGAAGCCCTGTCACGTACCCTGCATTGGGTGTGCCAGTGGGGGCTGGAGCTCACATCAGACATGCGAGGCGAATGACCCCTTCAGGCAGCACAACACATCCAACAATGGTTCGTGCGGCATGCGGTGCGGTTTGTCACCAGGGGTTCGTTCGAGGTACCTGCTGAGAGGCGCCACCCTGTGTTCGGCCAGCTGCAGCGGCGGGACCGTGCGAATGACATACGGAAGGTGGTACTTTTCCATTCGTCCTGGGCTACTCTCCTTCGAAATCGAGGAAAAAAGGTACCAAGGGAAGAGGCGCTCGAACCGTTTGAAATAAACGTAAGATCGCGGAGTCGGGGTATACCGCGAAAACGAAGAGCCGCAAATACAACGGACAAAGATTCGCCATTATTGGGGAAACTGTCATTATTTAATTGCAATCCGAGCGAAGTCAGCGAGGCTCTCGAACGGAATGGCCATGAGCTGCTCGGCAAAACGGTGAGTGCGACACCTACCATGCCAATCTGATCCCATCATGCATGCGAACTTGCAGGTGGCCGTCGTGACGTCCGCGGACATAGAGCGTGCCAAAGGAATGATGCAAGAGGATGTGGTCGTTTCGGTGAGGATGAGGAAGATGGCTTCGGGATGCTGCAAGCCGACGAATACAGCGACGATGAGGTGGGCAGGGGAACAGTCACACGCACACAGAGAGCAGCCACCAGTGCGGCAGTCTGTCTGTCTGCGTGCAGGTTGATGATGCCACTGAGGACATACCGAGTATGATGAGGATATCGATGACGCCACTGGCGTGTTGCGACAGCTCAGACCCGCCCGCCAGACAGCCACGGCCACTGACCCAGGCTCTTCTTCCGCCGCTGCCGCAGCTGGCGCCATTTCTGCCCGTTACCGATGCCCCATGGGCTTCCCCGGGCCCTTCCCCAGACCATTCTGACTATGACTGAAAGGTAGTATCCAGTGTGCACCCAGTACGGACTCATTCATGTGTTGGGTTGGTCTCCGTTCGTTCGTTCCTCTGGTGTGACAGGTGTCGCCGGCAGTGGTCTCAGAAGGATCCTCCTTCGGGGTTCGGCAGGTTCCATAGAGATTCGAGACTATTGTCCTTGTGAATGTTTTTGTCTTCATCTGTGTATGTGGGTGGGTCTTTGTCGTCGGAGGGTGTGTGTTTGTATGTGCACGTATATAGCAGTCAGTGCTATCTTTGTCACGCACGTCTGTACTTACGGGCATACATCAAATACGTATCCATGGGAGGACACAGCACGAACCTGTGTCTGCGTGTGTGTGGCCGTCTTTCGTCGTGTCCTGTATATATCTAAATCATACTAGCCATCAATGAGGCTCGTCGTACGACGTCCATTTATCCATGCAGCTGCTTCCACACGCGCTGCATCATCTGCACCAAGACGCCGACGTACCTGCCGTATGTCGACACATACTCGCAGCTGCCGTCCATAAGTGTTGCCGTAGCATTGTAGTTTGTCGCCCACGCATCAGTGCATCCCCTCACGGCGTGATGACAGCTTCCGTCGTCCTTCTGCGCCCGCTCGTCGTAGTCGGTGGCTGCCTTGTCGGTGCAGCCGAGGTGCAGGGGAACGGCCAGTTCGTCATCCTGCCCTCCCTGCTCATGCTGCTGGGCATCTGTGGACGGCTGTAGCTGGAATGAAGCGCCGCTGCCGCTGATCGCGACGGACAAAGAGCCACTGCTGACAATGATGAGGGCGATGAGAAACGGCGTTGCCTGCATTTCAATTTTTCAATTTACAACGCTGAGTTAGGGTCATATGCGAGTGGGTCATATGGATAGGAGACGCTTTCGCGTTCACACCCCACCTTTCCTCATCTGAAGTTTGTTCCTTCTGATATCCACTACAGACTGAGCGGCCGAGTTAATCCGCCACCTTTCTGACCTCGGGGGGAGATCTTGTATGGGGGTGTGCCATATCTCTGCACCGAGACCATAAGTCACAAATTCGTCTGGCACATATGCACACTGACATACATGTATACACTTATCACACTCACAAAATATCAACTGTCAAGAGCTATTCGTCTTTTCTGGACCCCCTATCTATATGTACAATCAGTAAATCGGTTATATCTGCAGGAGAACCGTCCAAATCAGCATTTGTAGATATGTATGTATGCAGAAACGTACAGAAGCGAGAAATGAGTGGGTGGATACCATTTCACTTCATTATCAATCCACCAAAGCCATCATGTCTCTGACAGACCTTGATTAAACCGTTCCTCTCACTTCCCAATGACAGGCAGGCGATTCCCTTAAGGAAATGCACACACACACACACACACACTACAGCTCAAGACAAAAATTGAAAAAGGCATTCTGGACACTATCATATAAGAGCTTAGCATAATATGGCAAATCATCGCTGCATTACTAAAGGAAGAACCACCATCGCCCCACCCCCGTCTTTCAAAGGCCGTAATGTTGTTTCTTTTTCCGCTCCTGCTTCCGCAGCACCCCAGCATATCGCCCCAGCATCATGACGGTCCCCTGAGGATTCATGCGGGTGACCTGCAAAATATCAAAATGTATCCTGTTCGTCATCCAGTCACACCCCAACCAACCCCAGTCTCGAGTCTCGAGGATGCCGACCTGTGGCAAGACGGATGCGTCGCATATCGCGAGGTTGTCGATGCCATAGACTCGAAAATCGTTGTCAACAACAGTACCCATTGGTGCCGAACTGACAGACGCCATGTATGAAAGAGGGAGGGGTCCATGTACGTGTTGATAGATGTGTGGATGCATATCTCACCCCGCAAAGTGCCAGAGGCTACTGCCATGCGCCTTGACATATGTCTCGAGACCGCTCCGACTCATATCTATGAACACACGCATAGACAAGCCAAGACAAACGGGTGCAGAACGAAAAAACAGATCCGCTTTTTGTCCAGCTCGATCGCGCACCGATCGGAAGCGGTGGGAATATTGCAAATCGTCGGGCCCTCCGCAGCTGTACCTCCTCCAGATATTCCTCGGTGCACGGTTGCCAGACCCCACAGCCAACGTCGCCCTCTGCTTTGTCATCATCCTGAACAGACCATCCTTCGTCGCAGGGCAGTGAACAATGCGCCATATATCTTATTCAACTGCCTCCCCACCGGTGCCGAGAGCAGGTCCGCAATGGACTTCAGGCCCCCAGTGAGGAACGTGGCCAGCTCCGACTGCACACCTCGCCACTCGTCGAGTCCGTCCGGTCGCAGCTGCCGTACCACATCCAGCTCCTGCTTCACCAGATCCGGCAGAGGCGCTTCTTCCAGGGCACGACGCTTGTCCGCTGGGGCGTCGCCCAGAAACTCCCACATGGACGGCGGGTGGGTGGGGTAATCAGGCTGAACTGATCTTATCACGGCTGCCGTGTCCTGTCAAGTGAAAACGGACAGAAATCGTGTATGAGACCCCTTGCTTGCACCCGCTCGTCTGATACGCAATGCGTACCAAAAGTTCATCCGAATCTGCCCCAGGAACGTTTCGCGCGCCAATGAGGAGGAGGCTCAGAAAGGAGTTGAATACCAGGAACGGACACGCCAGCGGCCCGTTTTTCTGAAGAATGCCGTCGAAGTTGCTGGTTCCGATCATCTATCGACGAATTGACAAAACAAGCGATTGATGAGCGTGCCCTGTGAGCATGACATTGCTTTATGTATGTGTCTCTCCTCATCACTCACCCGGATCATCCTCTTTAAACCCTCCACAGCAACATGCAGGTCCTCTCCGTCGGGGTCATTGTTGTAGCCGCCCGACACTATCGGCTCACCTGCACATAAGCAATTGATAAGCTTCCGAGACATCAATCAAGCGGATCGGTACGTCTTGACCCTTTTCGTTGATTGTGACATATCCTCGACCCTTGGGAACAGAAGGGAACGATATCATTGCGACCAGCTTCCTGCCGTGCAATGGAGACACGATCGACGAAGTCCCTTTCGACATATGTCCGTATACGTGTGCTGTGTGAATATATGTACTGGATGCAGGTGATGGTGGGGATCAGTGGCAGACACAGGGGGCTTTCATCAAACCCACTCGAGCACTTCTGTAGGACCCGCACAAGTAAGTCAGCCTCGCTACACAAAAAAGAGCGGAGACAAACAAGTACATCAATGTTCATCGGATTTCGTACGGCGATGATCGCAAGTATGGGGGCAGGATGAGTCGGGTTGCGAAAACCAGGCTTTCTATGCTTTTGCCGCCACTGAACTCCTCACTGGCTGCCCATCCGCAATCAGGACTCGAATCGAAGATGCTGCATGCATTCACAGGTATTAAATCACAGGCATTTCAGCAGCCAGTACTAACTTGAAATCGAGCCTTTTCCCAGAGCTGCCCGAGCAGCCTTCGCCCACACGCGACACGCCGCCCACTTGGACCGAGGTTATTTTGAAGCCATCGGGTTCTGGCAGGGGCGCGTCGAAGAAGGTCGCAAGAGGCGTCTACATCGTATAACAAGGACGCTTACTGTCTCTTGCGTTGGTGGCTGTTACCCAGTTTCTGTCATGCAGGTTCTTGCCCAGCTCAGATATCTCAAGCACCATCCCGCCTTTCTCCCCCCTCCCTTTCATCGCCTTCTCAACGGCATCCCTCGGCCCAACGCCCGACTTCATCAGCACGACGGGCGTATTGACGGCACCGGCACTCAAAAAGATCTCCCCGGCGGGGCGGATGCACGCTCGCATCACCTCTTGCTTGTGCTCTGCTTCCTCCTCTGTGTCGTCGTACTTGTCCTCCAGCGAGAGGCTGCTCACTCTCGAGTCGATCCTCTTCGCTTCGTTGGGAGATTTGACGAATTGCACGCACGTGGCGCGCGGCTTGCCCTTGTAGCTAGTGTCGAACTCGACTCGGATGACTGTGACGCGCGTCTTGATCTCCAAGCCGTTCGGGACGTTCTTGCGTTTGGAAAGCATCCCTTGGGCCAAGACATCAGATGCCAGCCGCTCTCTTGTCGACGCCATGACGCCGTCATCATTCAGGAACAATGAGAGCGTGTTCCAAGAGCCTTCAATTAACTGTGCCCTCGTGCCGACCAGAGGGGAATAGCCCACCTCTTCGTTGGATTTAGCCCACGCGCTGCCATACCTGAGACACAAATGTACACGTGAAATGGGCATAGATGCCTTAGTGGATTGCGGACGGCTCAGCGAAGTCCATTGGCGTCGCCACCTGTTCTCGCACCCACACATACGCCTAAAAGAGCATAACCCACAAGTGCGATGCATTTCTGTCAGAACGCAAACGCCTCGTTTACATCATCAACCAGTCCTTGATCAAGGTCCGCCCCCTCAGTCCTTAAGGCGTCGAAGTACCGTGGTTCTTCCTCGATATAGACGCCTGCTGACTGATGAGGTCACACACATGCCACTCACTTGGAGATAATGCAGCCATTTTTCTATTCTTATCTGGTCACCAGAGCAGTGCCGCCGCTCAGGACTTGAAACAGACAAAGGCCGCAAGACAGCAAAGAGATACGAAAACGAGAAAATCCATCACTCTTACCTCTCCCAAGATGACTCACGACGCCTTCCATTGTGATGCTGAAGAAAAACCAAAGAAGACTGACTCCTTCCTCTCCTCCTGCTTTGGCCCTCTCTTTTGACTTACACTTCTTCAGTGATGTCGTTGTTCAGAAGGCCAGTGCCTGCCGATCACCAGGCTGCGCTAGGATATGGTCACCGAGCATTATTCCCGTACTTACCCCAGCCCTCGATTGTCGTTGTCTCCTGATTTTCTTCTCGCCTTCCGCCCCTTTCGAGCACGAGCACATGAGCATCGCCGTCCTCGGCGAGTGTGTAAGCACTGAAGCAGTTACCGAGGCAGATGATTCATCAGCTGACCATCCCCGAGTCGTTTACTTACAGCGGCATTCCGGCAGCCCCCCCGCCCACCACAATGTAGTCGTAGAGCTTGGGCGAGTGGAATGCATGCTTGTCGTGGTGATTCTGGCCTTGAGCGGTGGTGAATGCAGTCAAGATGAGGGCAAGAGAGGCCGTGAAGTAGTTGAAAGCAGCCATCATGATTTCGCCCGAGAGTTGCAAGAACCGCTTTGTTGAAAATGTCGACGGCAACAGCACTGGGGCACACAGCGGTGACTCCCCCCGAGTCGTTCCCTTCCGGGGTTTGGTGGGGGCCAAGTGGGGGCTGTTTTTCCCGTCTCTGAATCCATGATCACGATGTCAGCGTCGTCAGATTCAGGCCATCTAGACTCAAGTGTGAAGAACGAGCTTCATGCCGTGCGACAGTATTTAGTCAACCAGACACGAGACGCCGAATCCGAGCACGACGCTATCCCCGGGCCGCTGAACGAGCATTTGGTGGAAGCATGTGAGGCAAGCGTGAGGCCACCATCCTGGACTGGTCCGATCGATCCCCCCTCTGCCCTCTACCATGCTCTCACCGACGCACACAACCTGTAAGTCAAACGACTCGAGGATGGTCAGCTAATGAATCATCTGCCTCGCTGATCCGCTCAGGCTGAGGAAGAGCGCGCTGTTTCGAGAAGATCCGCCCAACGGGCTTGCCCCGCCACCTTCGCTGGTGCGCGTGACCGCATTCATCGCTCGGCACCCGTCGCTGGACCTGGCTGGGCTCGACTGCAACCTCCTGCGGGTCACAGTAGAGACATGATTGATTGAAGCATTGCAGATTGTTTACTTATCATCCAACCTGATCGTCTTTCTTAACTTTCATGTCCACATCACACGGGGGCAGGTACATCCACAGAGGGGCGAGGCCGCCATCGGCGTCCTAGCTCCCATACTACAAAGGAGAGCGGCACAGAGAGAACATGCAGAGGTAGACGTGGAATGGAGTATTGTAGGCGCAAAATCGATTGAGTTGCCTTTGTTGTGTTGGTCCAACGCACCAGATGGTCACTTGCGGCAGCCTCGGAGGGCCCTGGCTGCTGTCGCGTGAGTGCCCGCCCACCACTCCCTCACCTATGGGCCCCTCGCCCGCCCCCCTCTCAATCCACCTCTTGACTCTCCTGCACGGCAGTGATTTCGGCAGAGCATTCAACGAGTACGCCCTGCATGTACTGGAGCTGGTCTACTGGATGGCTGCCGATGAGCAGCAGCAACAGTATCTCGTGTATGGCTTCGAGATTGCATCGCTGCCTGTCGCCCAGCTGGCTGCCACCCCTTTGCAGCTGCAGAGGGCCAACAGGGGAAGGGGGAGGCGTGACACCGGGTTGGGAGCTCCTGCGATGGTGCGCTAGGAGAAAGGGAGGGGCGGTGTTGGTTGACTGTGTCTCCCTTTTCAGGCTAAGCGCCTCCGTCCATTCTTCGATGGACGTGCATGCCCAGATATGTGAGACCCCTTGTGGGCCACGCTGCCGTAACTCATTCAAGAGGGGTGTGTCTCCGTGTATGCGTGTATATGCAGCATCACTGTACAGTCCATTCGTGCGAATCGGAAGCCCTTCATCACCGACATGAAAGCAGCCATGGCCCAGGGGCGGCAGGTGTCCTTACACCTTCTTTGCCGCGTGGAGGGGGAGGAGGCTCCCCTTCCCGTCACTCTCTCGCTGCACGTGTTCTTCGCGGAGGTAAGCGAGAAAGAGATGGACGCCATCGATGGGCGATGTTAAATGAAGCATGGGACCACCCTGTTTGTCTCAGGTCGATCTGCGGAGCTCCTGGCAGTCGCAGCGGCGCTCCTATAGCCTCTTCTCCACACCGATGTACCAGCGTAAATACCGACGCATAAAGTCGGTGGGTTGCACATGACATTTTTTACTACGTCCAGCATTGATTGAGGGTGTTTTCACCGACACGTCCTTCGTCAGCGAAGCGTCTCGTGTCAGCGTCAGTCCACCCACCACTACAACCACCAGCGACAGGAGGCGTGCGTGGCGGTCCCGTGTCAAGTTGGACCGCATTCCGTGGGCTCGTCCGATGGCTGCGTCGCCGGCGGATCCCGTCAGCGCCCAAAGCAAAGGGGGAGGCACCGACGAGATCCACCTTGTCCTGGGCAAGCAGGCTTTTGGAGCAATAGGGTGAGATCTGGGCGAACAAAGCCTTGCAGGTGTGACTGTCTTTTATCCCTCCAGTCAGCAGGTGGCGAGCGCGGTCCGCGGTGGCGACTTCATTGCAGGGTCGGCCAATGGCAAACAATCAATGCTCTTGCCGCTTATCCATACCTATTCTGCTGTGTCGACACGCACACAGGTGTCGTCATCTGCTGTCTCTGGCTGCCTTCTTCGACCGCAGCATCGCTGACGGCCTCAGGGCGGACCTGAGAGCTTTTCTGCAGTCAGTCCGTCAGTCGACAGAGGAAAGCAATACACAGAATGCTTCGTTTGTCTGTTTTCACATACAGCGACCCTCAAGTTGCCTTCCTTGATCGGCTGGTGGGCCTGTGTGTCTGTTTGAGGCGCCTGCGGCACTTTGTCGACGCACATGCAGGTAACGAGCATAGATAGACAGACAGGCGTTCACACAGGGCTGCTTGTTATCATGACTCGTCTGACGTGCTCGGTCGTGTCGTCAGCTGAGCGCGACAAGCTGAGCGATCCATCACTGAAGCAGTCGCTGCACAATTTTGTATGTATACACAACACATATGCCCAATACAAGCGACTTGTGCGCCAAAGCTGGCCCGGCGGCCGGAAGGCCAGCCTTGCAGCCGCAGAGCTGGCCCTGCGGCCGCAGGGCCAGCCTTGCAGACACAGGGCCAGCCTTGGCGCACAAGTCGCGCCTACTGCAGACACATGATGAGGATGTGATTCGACTGCCTGCTTTACTGTGATTTGCCTTTTTCGCAGGGTTCTTCCCTGCTTGACGCGTTGACTGGGCAGCTATCAGCCTGGCTTGCTGACGATGCGTCACTCGGCCCCCTGGCTCATTTCATGCGGCCGCTGCTGCTTCGCTCGGTGGAGACGTTGAAGCTTAGCGCTCAGTCGCCGGCCCGCTCGCGTATGCAAGCTGTGAGCGAGACAGGGATGGATCACTCATTGCTCTGTGTGTCTCTGTGTCTCTGCCAATGCATGTAGCCATTCCGTCTGCATCGCCAGTGAAGGCGGGGAGTCCCACGCGCCAAAATGACGCGAGGACAACGGTGATGGATCGGGTTTCTACCGATCATCTGCAGGAGGTGTCAATTCTGCTGGGTGTGTGCCGCGCGGCAACCGCAGGCCAAGCAGCAAGATGCTTCACACGGTCAGCCTGCGACTGAATGCTGCTGCCGATTGATTGACTCGTGTCTGTGTCCCCGTGTAAGTTACAGCCGGACCGCGGCGGTGCTTGCAGATGTGTGTGGACTAGAGTCGGCCGAACAGCTCTATGCAATGGTTTATGCGACACAATACTTCACTGCAGACACTGCAGACGAGGGCGGGGAAGGAACAGCTTTCGATGCGCAAGCGACCGGGACGCCGTCTGACGCCAGCTTTCCTCCAAATCTGAAGAAATACGCTGCCAAAATGGAGGTTGGTCGTGTTTATACTTAGAAACGTTAAACGACCTCTCTCTCTCCCTGAGCGTTGCGTCTTTGTGTGTATGTGCGGCAGTATGTGAGCCGCTGTCGGCTAGACTTGCTGTTGAAGAATTCGCTGCTGCCCTACTGTCTATGCAGACCTCTGCCGCCGCCCCAGGCCTTTATACCCGCTATCATGCGGTCGGCAGGCATAGACTTGGTCTCATGTGTCTGTCCATATTGTGTGTGTCTCGCTTTGTGTGTGTTTGCAGGGGGCTTCACTTTGAGAGATTGCGATTCTTGGCGGGCAGGCCGCTTGTTGAGACACCACAAGAAGTGCTAGACAACATTAAAGGTGCGCAGACCGCCTCCACATCTTGCCCTCATTACTCTCTGTCTGTCATCCAGACACGATTCAGGTCGACACGCTTCCGTCGGGTGCACTCACAGTGTCCCTGGCCAAGCATTCGTCATCCGATGGCAAAGACACAGACTTGACAGGAGGTCCTCCGACCATGGAGATGATTGTATTGTACTGTCCCCGAGTGCCCCGGGAGCTGCTCGCGTGGCTGCAGCCAGGCAGCCTCAGATTCCTGGTCAATCAGCTGCTGGACCCCCTCAAGAGATTCACACCCGTGCCCTACAATCACGCCAACGTCCTGAACGTACGCGGGTGTGTGAGGTCCTGTCAAACACAAGCGACACAGTGTGACTGACGTGTATGACTCAGATGTATTGGTCTATCGGAGGTCACTCGCTCGCTGTGGCGGTGCAGCAGATGGCATCTGTGAGGGAGAGATCGGCTTACGATGGTGTCCCCCCCTCTCCCACACAGATGCACGCACACCTTTCGGCAAGCTAGGAGGACATGCTCACTGTGCCCACACATTTCCCTCTCCACCTCTTTCTTTCTTCCTGTGTGTGTAAAGGTCACGGGTCCGTCCGCCCCCTCGGACGAGTTCGCCAAGACGGTGACTGACATGGCTGTGTGGCTCACTCACCGCCTGCACTGGCCTCTCATCGCAATACACCTCAGCAACCAACACTGCCCCAAATGTACGCTGGACCACAGCCGCAAGCGTGTTGCCATGCATCCCTTGCGGTCCATTCAGTATTTGTGCACGAGGTGCCGGGACTCACCGCGGGCAAGAGGACCCATCGCACATCAGACAAGGCCGAGCGTGTCGCAGCGGCCATCCGCCAGTCCGTCTGGGCCATCTTCGAGCTGGTCGTGCCTCTGAAAAGCACCCAAGAGGACTCAGCCTGGTGTCCGACGGCAGATGCCCCCCCGACTGGCTATACCCACCTGCTCATCGCTGTCACCCACCAGGAGCAGCACTCCGCGCCTTTCCAGCTGTACGCGTCACCCAGCCATCCGTTCCTTCCCCTGCCATGCTCATCGGCGGCAACAACAGCATCGCCCCTGGTGCCCGTCCCGCTGGAGTATGTTGCTGGGTCAGTTGTGACGCGCCGACCGCTGTTCCGCGGAGTGGGTGTGCGTGGTTTAGGGGTTGAGGAGATGCGCGCAGCGGTTCAGAGGGCGTTCAACGAGGCGGCGGGTGGAAGGGAGGAGGTAGATTGGAGAGTCAGGTGCGTGCCACTGGTCCCCCTGTCTCTCTCTATGCAAGTGGTGTCTCGTGTGTCCTTTGTGTGCAATAAATAGGATGGGTGTGTGGTTCTATGGCACGAGGGCGGCAGAGTCGACTCGGCTGGCAGCCGCGCTCGCAGTGCTTCTTAACATCACCAACCACAAGTAGGCAGACACGACCAGAGACGTCGCCACTGCATGATGAAGCCGAGCATGTGTGTGTCTCTCTGTCCCTCCCAACACCGTGCAGGCTATACACACCCCCATCGACACCCCTGCCCTGGCACGTCATGGGTGTCGATGACGCGTGGCGGTGGGCCCTCACCCAGACAAAGAGATTTCTCAACAGAAACATGATGCCGCCTTGCCTCTTCACGGCGGCCAGACAAGCGGTCGTTATGGTACATACACCCATCTATGGATTCATCCATGTGTGTGGATGCGCGTACAATCAGTGCGATGAGCTCTTTGCTGCTCGTGCGGGTGTGCCGACGGCTGAAAGTGAGCTGAGCGAGTGGCTGGAGGGAGCGCGGCAAGTTGCCACCGTCGTCTACATGGCAGGTGGGGCGGGAGAGACACACACTCAGCACAAAGAGAGTACGCAAACGTGGTTGCGGTGGTTGGTGTCTGTGGTTCTATCGGCCAGCTCATGTTGATACGGCCGCGGTGCTGGCGGGACACAGTGATGAACGCACACACGGATACACAGAACCGTTGTTTTGAGAAACTCTGTCCAGGTCTGGCTGGCTGGCTGGCTGTCTGCAAATGCACGTGTCTCCACAGCATCCATGCACACAGCTATGCTCGCATCGTGTCGTTGTCGATGTACGTATACGATACCTACACACACATGGTCACTGAGCCAGCCGCCCCGTCTGTCGCCCATGTCTTTGTAGCTTGTGGAACTGAAACACTTGTGCTTGTGCGTATGTAAATGACTTCACGCGCACACTCAACCTAGCTACTAATACTGCGTCCAGCCAGACAACAGCTAGGTGTCACGTCATCTCATCACGCGCCAGCAGAGAGGCGGGGAGGCAGGCGCAGAAAACACAGAAGCCCCTCCCTTCGCCCATCGCCGCCTCCACCCCAACCCGCCCCTTGTCTGTCTCCTCGCCTTCCCATCCACATAAAAAACACATACAAAGCACGAGATTTCCTGATTTCCTCAGATGGCTCGACTCTTCCCTCCCGTCACTCGCCCCGTCCATTCGCGTGTCAATCACTCACGTCATTTGACGCAGCAGGGATCCATCAAACTGACAACATGCCCGAAGACGGCCGACCCGACGCCCAGCCCCACAACAACCGCGGCGAAGAGGCCCACATTGAATGTCATACACACGAGCATCAAAGCGAAGTCAATGCCTGTCGACAATACGCTCAACGCGCTGTGTAACAATGGCAATACACAGGACACCCAAGAACCATGGACTTCGCCCGCACTTGCACTTGGGTGTATTGTGTTTGCCTGACCATCTGAGTAGCGCGGCGACTTGCCATGGCACCCGGTGTTCTTGGCTCCTTCGCTGTGCCGCTTCTTCCGTCTGCAGCTCGCCCCCACTACTCCGAGCCTCTGCCTGGTGTCGCTGCAGCTGCTCCCCCACTCTCACCACAGTGTCGGCCGCCCCACTGCCCCCCGTCCGCAGCAGAGGTGACCCAAGAGACTCGGACAAGCCTTCTCTCTTCATTGAATGGCTGCTGTCGGCGGATGTGGCGCGGTCCTCTTCACTGGCTCTGTCTGAGGGATGCAGACACGTGTGGGGATACAGGGGGACGGGCGAGGGGGGATCAGTCAACGCAGACTTGGCCTGCGACACACACAGATTCGGCAAGGCGGAAGATTGCTGCAGTCGGTGTGTGGTCTGTGTGTGTACCGGTAGGTCTGCACTTAAATGGCGTTCGAGGAGATTCCTGAGGTATTTCAGATACATGCTGCACACACAACAGCACAGGGCAGACACCATCGGTCACCAAGAGACTGCTGATTGGCCATCAAGAGGCCCCTGTGTTGTGTGTTACAGTTTGTGTTACCTGAGAAAGCCAGCAGCTAAGCAGACAAGGCAAGACAGGTAGAAGGCCAGAGGCGACGAAGGCTTCCACCACCTTGACGGACCAACAAACAGAGAGAGCAGACAGTACGTGTGTGCACAGTTTCCCTGTTGTTGCCCTGTAGTTTGTTCGTTTGTTTGTTTGTTTGTTCGCTCACTGAAACAGGATGATATCAGAGCCAATGCCCGTGTGCATATACATCTTCATGTCGGACATCGAGTCCGTGCCAGAGGGAGAAGGCCCGGGACAGCATGAACAGTTGCTCATTTTTCCCTCTCAGGTGCAGAAGGGTTGGTCCGTTGCGCAGCTCAAGGCCATCAACGAGACCGGGGGAATCGACGAGGAGACTCTCAAGCCCGCCGTGAAGCGTCAGAAAAGGGCCAGTCAGTCTGAAGGGTTTGAATAGTAGGGTGCAGGGTTGGAGGGAGGGGAGGGAGGGAAGAAAAGGTTCCCTTCCCCCTGTCGCGGCCCTTCGCCAGCTCCCTACGAGCTCTTTACTTTGCACTCCGCAGGAGTCAGCTCTCCTATGCTCAGCTTGATTGTGTGGACCCTGCTGCTCGCCCTGTCCCTCCTGGCCGCTCAGCCCTCTGCAAACAAGACACCTGTGGTTGCCTACAGCACATTTAGCCTGTTGAGTGACGGAGCTGCAGACGACCAGCCGCACGTCCGTGCGCTCAGCACCCGGCCACCACGTCCAGCAGCAAGCGGCAGCCGCATCATCGTGAAGCTCAAGCACCCACACACCGAGAGCCTTGCTCGCGCAGAGACCATCTCGAGGGCACTCCAGGCCTCCCAGCCAGCTCGTCGCGCCCTAATGGACGCTGTGACTCACACGGCTGAGACGACAATTCACCACCTCAACAGCTTGTCCATGGACACAGTGGACCTGCCGCCCGGTGTCGATGCAGTGGCCACATGCGAGTCTGCCCTTCTCGTGTCGTCTGATATCGACATCTGCGAGCCGGATGCCCTTGTTGCGTCGACCTCTGGCCGCAGGCTGCGTGCCCGAGCGGCACAGGAGCCCAACCGATGGGTGCCCAACGACCCAATCTTTGAGGAACAGTGGGAGATGGCCAGCATCGATATGCCCGAGGCGTGGGCCGTTTTGTCTGAGCAGCAGGAGGATGAGGAAGCGGCCGGCCCAGTGGGCAAGGGACCGGTAGTCGGGGTGATTGACAGCGGTGTTGACTATACCCACCCGGACCTGAAGGACGCCATGTGGGTCAATGAAGGCGAGATCGCCGGCAACGGCATCGATGACGACGGTAGGTCCCGAGGGATAGGAGTATACGATCTGCATCCATTCCTGGGTGTGTATGTGTCTGTGTGCAGGAAATGGCTTCGTAGATGACATTCATGGCTGGGCTTGGTGCGACGGACCCTTTTACCCGGACACTAGCGACGGCGATCCTATGGATACACATGGCCATGGGACTCACTCTGCCGGCACGATTGCAGCAACCGCGAACAACCGACAGGGCATCGCAGGCATCGCAGGCGTCGCATTTGGCAGAGAGAAGATCATGGCACTCAAAGTCCTCTGTTCGGTAAGCCAAGCAGAACACAGGGTCGCCAAGCGCTTGAATCACATGTCTGTGCCCCTGCCTTTTCATCAGGGTGGTCAGGGTTCTTTTTCTGACACGATCCAGGCGATCAACTATGCGGTTGCCATGGGGGCCACACTCACAAGCAACAGCTACGGAGGCGGCTTTCCGTTCAGGGCGCGGGAGGCGGCCATCAGGAAGGCGGAGGAGGCCAACATGCTGTTCGTCGCCGCCGCCGGCAACGAACACGTCAATACCGACATCACGAAACACTACCCGTCGTCGCTTGGGCTGGACAGTATCATCAGCGCCGGCGCGACGGATAGCGATGGAAAGAGGGCGTGTTTCAGTAATTACGGCCTTGAGAGTGTGGACGTGTTCGCGCCGGGAACGGACATCTACTCGACTATGCCGGGTGGCAAGTATGCCTCCGCCAGCGGCACCAGTGTGGCAGCGCCATTCGTCGCTGGTACGCGCGGATGTGGCACCGGAGTAAGGACCAGCCAATCAAGTGCTGGTTTGCTCGTGCCTTCTTCGCTTAGGTGTGGCTGCTCTATTGTGGTCGACGGATCTGGCGCAGAGCTTTCGTGACATCAAGGGCCGGATTCTGGCGACTTCCGAGAAGATGGACTCGCTTGATTGCCTGTGCGTCACGGGTGGCCAGGTCAACGCACGGAAGGCCGTCAGGTGTGTCGATTGCAAATGGACGCCTCCTGTGCGGACCAGCGAGTGCAAATCGACGCCTCAGGTGCAGACCGCAGAGTGCGAATGGACCACTGAAGAGCCGCCGACCTCTCCTCTTTGGGGCATCTTTCTTACCATTCTTTCCCCTTGGTTTGGCGTAGTCTCTTGGCTGGCCTGAGATATCTATCAGCCAATCCTGGCCGTCCTGTCGACGTGCACATGTATGGTGTGTACAGATTTTTGCGGGTAGCATGCTGTACTGTTAGGTGAGGGGTGTGTGTAGATTCGTCGGTTGGACGTTTTCGCCTCCAGCGCCGCGCCACTCACTGCCACTCCTCACGCAGCCTAGTTGGTTGCCTCTGCTCTGTGGTGTGTGCATGAATAAGACGAATATTGTTTTTATGATTGGTACAGTAGTGCGTATCCATGTCGGTGCTCTGCTAAGCCGTCGTCGCTCAGCGAGCTCTGACCTTATCAGACCTGAGTGTTTGCTCTCCACGTCCCCGTTCGTTGTCTGTTGATAGTCGGCCGCGGTGACTGCGCGGTGGTGTGTGCATATGATCACCGTTGTCTGGTACGTATGGGATAAGACGGATAAGAGAGGGAGACATGCGGGTGAATGATATGATACAACCAGTTGCAACGACATATACACACAATCATATGTGCGGCCGTACTCAATGAATTTAAAACGTCTCGTACACAATGCATATGCACAAAGTGTACACAGCCGGATTGATTGACTGATCCGTTAATTGATTCATTCTTCAAGGGACTCTCATTGATGCGCTATGCTGTCACTCCCTTCCCTCAGTTTCGGTGGGCACATGGCCATGGACGAGGAGAGTGTCGTCGGAGGCGACAGCCAGGGTGAACATATCATGTCCAAGGAGGACCTCGCAGACACTCACATCATCGGACAAGTACATACGCAGACAGACATTGTCAAGCAGACAGGCAGACAGCAAAGAAACAGACAGACAGACAGACAATCGAAGAAACAGACAGTCACTTGGTCACGTACGCTTGGTGTCTCTGGCCAAAGGCCACGTGTGCAGGTTGACCACAAGTTTGTATGCTGCTTCGCTGCCTCGATGCAGTCCATCGCCCTGGTGGACCAGCACGCATGCGGTAAGGACAAAAATCGCTCGGTCAATCATTCTGTCTCTTGCCTCATCCGTGGCCGTTTCGTTGTTTGGCGAATGTGCAGGTGAGCGAATTGAGTTGGAGAATATCTTCGAGGGCCTTGCAGCGGGCTGCCACGACGACAAGCTGCTGTCGACGGCTGTTCTCTCGCCCGCAGCCCGTGTGCTACTCACGCCAGGACAGCACGCCGCACTCGTCAAATATCAAACACTCGTACGTCTATCGCTCCACACCACATTCTGTCGTGTGTGGGTGGATGGATGGATGGATGCAGGTGAGCAAGTGGCGTTTCCATGTCGATGTCTCGTCTTCTGCCATCGCTCCAGACGGCTACATCCGCGTCAAAGGTCAGTCAGTCCAGGCATGAGCTCATGACATGAATTAAGGCCTTGCAATGCGCTGCATCAGTCCACTCTGTTCCAAAAGTGGCATCGTATCAAGCAGCGCCCGAGGAACTGCCCTTTTTCCTACAGTATCGCGCACACCGACATCACACAGATAGAGAGAGACAAGTGGACAGACAGACAGACTCACAACAAACGCATCTCTGTTCCTCCTCATGTGTTTGTCCATGTGAGCAGGTACTTGGAGACACAAAAGGAGGTGCGTTTCCCCTTCCCCGTCCCACACAACTGTCGCAAGCAGCTCGTGTACCAAGGTAGGACAGACAGACAGACGGACAGACAGACACCGTCAGTGTAGCATGAGTGGTGAGATGTGGCTGACAGCGTGTCGTCGAGCCACCAAGTTCGGCGACCCCCTCACCGACCTGCAACAGGCCGACCTCCTCACACGCATCAAGCAATGCAAATATCCATTCCAGGTCGCACTCATTGCATAGAGACGCCAGCCCTCACATGCATGTGTGTCTTGTGGTGCAGTGTGCGCATGGGCGCCCGACTGTGTATCCATTGTTCACGCTGGATGGCCCTGATGCCTGTGCTGGCGACAGCAGACACGAAGACAGTGAGGGCAAGTCGGCCGGATGGGAGAGAGAGCTGGGGCCCATCGACTGAAAATATGTCAGCGCGCACAAATCGTCCGTACATGGATGTGATGTGTGCAACAATTTTGAGGCAAAGACGGCTTGGTGTGCGCACAATTCTGCACATTAGCGAAACGGTTGTGCTGCGTCGCGTACAAGAGCTGGCATTGGCGACTGTGGACATGGTCAATTGAACGAAGCACTTGGACATCGTTTTCATCCACCGACCGCCGCGCCACCACAGCGAAAGTGCGACACACGAGTGCTCAGGAGACATGATGAAAACGTTCAAGAACTTCGACAAAGGGCCAATGCCAAGTCTGTCGACACAAGTCACACGTCAAAAGACGGACAAAGGTAAAAGAACCAATGGCCGTGCGCGCGCGATGCCCGTGGCGAGTGATTGTTTGTCGACTTTTAACACCGATATATGTGAATGTCGAGCGCCTGTCTGTCTGCTTGTGGTGTGAGGGCGGTGGCGTGTATGATCTGCTGGTGTGAATGTAATCTAGCGGAGGGTACATGACGAGGACAAGAGCATGGCCCTACGCGCTACAGCCAAGAAAAAACCGCCGGAACAGAGACAATGAGACAATGAGCAGTCTTTTCAATAGACTCAGCATGTCTCACTTAAGCAAAGCCCCATAGATGTCCCACATTCCCAGGTTCTTCTCTCCTATGTGCCCATCTATTGATCCCTACACATGGCCTACGCTGAGCCTCCGCTTGAGCCCTATGTTCATTCCAATCCAACAATTGCGCCGGGTCGCCTTGCATGTCACACTTCACTCTGCTCGGCTCTGCGTGTCTGACTTCTCCGAGACCACTCTCCACTCATGATCAGCACAACGCTGGCAGCCTGGCTCCTTCTTAGATGACAGGAGAGAAATAATAATATGGGCAGGTACGACGCTCTGGCTCAGGTAGGATCAAGGACTGTGTGACGGTGCGGCCGACGGCACGCCGCAGAGACATCAAGAAGAACGGCAGCCATGCGGAAATGCTGTACAGACAGAAAGAGACAGAGAAATGCAGTGAGCAAACCGATCGATAAATGCGCCTAACCAGGTGACGGCGACCAGGAACAAGGTCAGTACTACACGGCGAAAAATGCCTTTTTCAGACCTGGACGCAAGCATGGGAAGGTTGTTCCACCTCATCAAAACACACAGCATGCACAGCTCGAATAGCTGCTCGATAGCCACCAGTAACACCAAACCCATGCCTTCCTCCACAAGCTGCTCCCATGACGCGCCTGCGTAAGCTTGGGCCGTGAGTACAGCCAGGTTGGTGAACAAAAGGGCCACCAACTCACAGGTGGACCAGATGTTCACCTGGTCGGATAGTGCACGCAGATACCTGCAATGAGTACACACGTAAGCGCACACAGTGTAGATGGTGTCTGAGTCTATTGTGGCCGCGGGTACCTTGGAGACACTTGAGTGAGGCCAAGGCCGACTGCAGCCCTCCGACTGGAGCAGCGAGAGACAGCGCTGTGCTCATGGTTGAACTTTGACGTCTTAGCAGATGACTGTTCTTTCTCTTGCTGTGCTGGGTCTTCGTAGCGTCGTTGTCCTTGCCCATGGCTGATCCACTGACCGCCTCCGCTTTGGTCGCCGTCACCGCGATGTCGGTCAAGCTATAAGCTGTGGGTGCCTGTCTCTTACACCGGGCCTTGACAAGCCTCTTGGCCGACAGATGAAGTAGGATCGCTGATAGATGGAAGGAGACAAGCATAATTGACCAAGAATTCACTGATGTGTCCATGGCAGAGGCGCGTACAGTAGGGGGAGGAAATGTCCATGATCAGGTCAAACATTGAGATGAGGACAGAGTAGAAGAGTTTGCTGTTCAGCGTCACGGCCTCGGCTTGGAGCATGCCTGATCAGGAACATCACACCCCCTATTGTACGTCTGTCAGCCATGAAGAGGTGACTGACGTGGGAAGAGCACATAGACTATCGCAGGCAGTGCTATAAGCAGCGAATTGCATGTGGGAGGTCCCTTCTGGATATACAAAACACCATGAGAAACAAAGTCCGCTGTCTCTTAATTGGCTCTGCTAGTCAGTTCGTACTTTGAGCGACCGCACGAGTTTATTGACAAGTGCGATAGCGGGCATGAAGACTGCGAGATATATGACAGCCATCCAGAATCGGTCCCTGTCAGTGGATGATGCAGCAGCAAATCGTGGCGAGAGGGCAGCGAGCCATATTACTGCCATAGTGAATGCCATCGTGACAGCTGCCGTGACCTTCACAACATACTCTCGTCTGGCCCTAATATTCAACGAGCCCGCAGCGCGCCAGAAGTACACAAATATAGCCGCATAGCATGAGCTCCAGTAAATCGGAATGATGATGTTTCTTCTTTCTTGGGTGTCGAAATGGAGCTCATGACCAATAGGGATCAACAGACCGAGCGCCACTGCCGGAAGAAAAACGAGCCACTCTTTCTTCAGCCGCACTATCATTTTTTGCAGGTCCGTCCCGTCTGTGACGAGCACGACCATGAGCAGCAGCATGAGAGTTTCAATAATGCGGCGGAGGATGCCAAACACTGGCCCAAACGTACTTGACAGACACCAATAGATGACCATTAGAGTGCAACCGACTAGAACGATGCCAATGGCGAGAGCAATTGCTGACTGCTGAAGTAGAGCCACAGAAATTCGCCTCAAGGTCATCACGAACGGCTCGGGCTCAAAAGTTGCACCAACAAACACCTCTGTTGTGCTGCCGTCGGGGTGATGCATCGTTTTATACTCAAGCGTGGTCGGCCACTCTTCAAAACTAGCCTCGTAGCCTGCCGCCTCCCTCAACTCACCAACCAAATCCACTATAATACGCTCCTCACGACGCAGTTCAGGGCCAGAGGCGGATTCTCTCGTGTCGCCTGTCCCAGTTGTGGTTGTGCCGATGGTTGACGTAATCGAATTCCGTCTTTCGTGGCGTCTTTCGCCGTCGCCGTGTGTTGTGGTTGTGATGTCGCTTGGTCCAGGTGCTGTGTTGTTTGTCTCTTCAACGTCGTGCTGTTGTGGGCACGGCAGGCTGACTGAGGACGAGAGATTGGACGAGAAGGTCGAGAGAGCGGCTGGCTGATGTACACATTCATCCCCAGGTGATTGAGGCGGTCTCACAGCCTCGCCTTTCGCCGTCAGCGCGTTGGACATTGTCGACCGTTTCAGCGTTTCAGGAGATGCGAGCTACGCCCGCAAGCAGATCTCGAAGAAGGATGGGATGGCATGAAAGGAAATCCACGTCAAAGGATGCATGGCATCTCGGTGCAGACCTTACTGTCCATCTACTTGTTTGCCTTCCTCCGCTCTGGCACGGGATAAAGATCATCACCATCTGTGTCCCAGATCATACGGCCCTGCATATCGCCAGCAGGCTGTCGCCTCAGCAGATCACATGCTCTCAAGTCCGACAAAAGTAGCAGCAGCAGCGCCAGCAGCGACAAGAAGAAACAGAAGAGGTGCGTGGTGAATGCATGCTGATAGACGGATGCTACACATCGTCACTCGAGGTGCTGTTTGTGGTAACGTGTCTGCAGGAGAAACAGGCGGCCATGATGGAGATGATGGACCAGTCAGTCCAGAAGGCCATCATAGAGGCGCGCACACGGCGCACTGCCGGCGGTGTGGAGGACCGCACCACACAGGTTCGTCGGGGCAGAAAGAGGCGCAAGGGCGAGGAGATGCGTGTGGCACTCACACTCGACCGCATTGGACGGGACCGGTAGGACAGCACGAGGATAATGGACGGACAGGGGTAGAGAAACAGGCTGCCGACACCATTGCCGTGGCAATGGAGGCAGCGCAGGAGACCATCTCGTTCGGCCAGTATGCACTCGGTCAGCCACAGATCACACGCAGACGCATGTAACCAATCATTGTGTGTCTGGTCTGTGTGTGCCTGCGTGCCCATGCAGCGATACCGACGGACGACGCCGACGAGACGGATGACCTCAGAGGATGGACACTCGGACAGGTCAGACAGACCGAGGGATGGAGGGGGAGTACATGGATGTGTGTGTGTCTTGTGCAGGCTCCTGCGTGCCTTCGACACCGTGTTCGACCGCTCCAAGCTCATGATCGGACTCGTGCGAGCCTAATGAGAGCCATGGGTGGATAAGAGTGGATGGAAGGGGGAGATGCAGATGCATGAGTGAGAGGCTGCATGACCGTCTCGACTCGATGCCGGGTCACCGTTTAGGCTAGCTCGTGAAGGAACAGACGACTGTATTTGATGGACCATTGATGATTGCATTCACTGCGCGGATGCGTGGCTGGATCGCGTTCACTCGATTGTCCACTGGGTGTCCCGATACATACGTACGCGTCCGCTTCTGCTATCATTTCGATGTGGTCCGCGGAACTTGAGGGAAAAAAAGTCGCAGGCCGCCTAGGGTGCTGCCTGAAACCGCTGCGACGAAATGACGAGCGAAGGAGCTAAGAGGCATGGCGGTGACGAGGTGAGGCGTGCAAAGCCTGTTGAAGCCCCGAAACGGCATTTTGATTCATAGCTTTGGTGGCCTGGCTGCACGATGGCTGCCAGCGCAGGTGAAAGAAGAGGTGTTGTTTGCCATGTGACGTCTGCAGCAGACGTCAACGTTGACGATGCGGCAGCAGCTGCTGGCACAGATTCAGGCCTATCAGACCAATCAGGCGAGGGTAAGTAACCAAAACACTCACTCACTCATTCAGTGCATCCACCACTCATCGGTTGCTTTGTGTTGTTTGTGTGTGCTGTGGTGTGCAGGTCAACAATGGCATCGGCCGACTCACTCAGATGGACACCGCTGCGATCACACCACTGGTGCGGCCAGACTGCCAAACACAACACAAAGGCCTCTGTTTCATGGTATCTCGTGTGCCTCGCTTGTTCGTCAGATGGTGGCCAAGGTCACTCGTCAGCTCGCCAACGAATCGGCCCGTCTGGCCCAGCTGGCGGACAACATCGACTCGACCATCGCACTCACAACACACACACAGGTGAGAGAGATCACACACGCACAGCTCCATGTGTGTCTTTCTGTGTGTCATCAGGCTCGGCGGCTGCGCGTGACTGACATTCCCGCCGGGCCGATGAGCATCGTCCTGGCACTCTCTGACCTCACCACCGTTGCCCGACTCAAGGCGACAGCCCGCCACTTCAGAAACGCCCTGCGGCTCATCGTCCGCAATATTCGGCTGCGGAAGGCCATCGAGTGTGCGGGGGTTGGCGGTGTGGTGCGGTTCGGGGCTGAGCTGAGCCACGGCGATGTGATGAAGGCCATGTGGTTGATGGAGGAGGGGGGCGAGGGCGGCTGGGGGAAGGTGGCGGACACGCTCGATTCGGTGAGCATCTCGGCTATTGCCAGCTGCCGGTCACTGTGGGTGCCGGAGATCTGCAGACACACGCCACCAAGGCGGTAGGCACGACACACAGAAGAGGCAATGGGGCAATGAGTGAATGGCTCTTTCTCTGTGTCTGTGTGTGGACTGAAGGACTACTCATCACTGCCCCGTTTCTGTGCGCAGTCGATGATCGTCGGCCGCCATGTGGCCCTCCGTCGCCCCAATGGCCAGCATGACGGCACACTCCAGCTGTTCCGCCACAATAACGAGCTCCGCGTCATTCGCAACGAGCCCGACTTCGCCATCGTCATCAACCCGCCCCTCCTCCCCACCCGCTGCGTCCATCCCTTCCATCCCTTATGGCAGCACCCATTCCAGCAGCACGCCAGGCCGCACGACCCGCCCGTCGGCAGCCGCATTTGGTGGCTGGATGGTGTGGGCTGGACGGCGGGTGTGAACGCCGGGGGCGTTTCCGCATCAGCGAGCTCCCTGCTGAAGAGGCTGCTGATACTATATCACCGGAGGATGGCTGTGGGTGGCATGTACCAGTCGCCACCAGTGGCGGTAGACCGGTAAGTGGATGGACGGCAGGTCGCTCGTGGTCTGTTTCAAACATGCATATGTTCGCCAGGAGTGTGCGTGGAGGTTATCTGGATCGTATTCTGGCTCGATCGCCTCACACGCCCCTCGACGCGTGTTCACACGTGACGGCATATGAGGCGGTCAGTGGGGCCTGTCTGCAGGCTCATGTGCTGACATCATCGGCCGACCCCTTCATCGCATACATTGCCTTTTCCATTCCCTCCATTCAACGCAGCAACGGTACGCATACACGTAAAGAAAGAGCACCTCGACAATGCCCCCATGGCTGCGTGCAGTGCGCATCATCATCGTTACCACCGAGGCGCCAGCAGCAGGTGTGGCCAATGGCGCCCTTCGCACAGCGATTCCCCCTGACCGCCGCCAAAGTGCGTCTCGTCCTCGGCCCCATCGCCCCCATCGTCCTCGACGGCCAGGCACCGTAGACACACAGGTGTGGGCCACACACATGATGCAGAGGACCTGATCTATGTGTCCATTGTGTGTGTTTGTTGATGTGTGTTCTGCAGGGCGGCTGGATGGCGTCAAGGAAGGCACACAAGTAGCTGACTGTCTGGCGGGCGGGCGGGCGGGTGGCATGGCTCACACCCGATGGTACAATGGGCTCTTATGGGAGAAGGATGTCGCCACTCGGATACACCCTTCGAATTCTCAAGTGTATGCAACGGATGCTGATCGCGTATATGTACATGTGTGACTGTTAATCGTACGCATTCAAGGTGTGATTCATTGAATCAGCTGTTCTGTTTGAGCATCTGCCTCACCATTCTTCTCACTCCCTTCCTGCCTCCCTGATGACCGAACATCTTGTTATCGAAAGATGCCGAACATCTTAGTCCCAGTGTTATCATACTATTATTTCCCGCTATTGATTTCCGCCGCGCTGGAACGACAATACAGGTGCTGGTTTGTCGGACGACAACACCCACGCAGCGATGCAATACAATACCATGGGCTGTCATGTGTGTCTGCTGTCGCGTGTTTCTGCCTGTCTGTCTGCAGATCTGATTTGTAGCCGAAGTGCCGTTCACCCAATCCATACCAGGATGCCTCACGTGCACGTAATGGCCTCCGCCGGCCCGCAGCCCGACATGGTCATCGACGCCACACTGAAGGACGTCGAATCAGGTAGGTGAGTGACGGATGCGGAAGATTCTGTGAAGCTGCAACTTTGCAATCAATCCTCCGTGCAGCGGTGTGTGAGGTGCTGGGGAAGCCGCTGAGCTACGTCCAGTCGGCCTACACGCAGGCCACCAAGATGCGCTTCGGTAAGAGTGGCAGGGCGGGCTGGAGAGCGTCACCGATACAGCTGCCTGCCTGGCTGCCTGCCTGTGTGCTTCGTTTGGCGTGCAGGTGGTCAGGACGGCAACACGGTGTGGGTGCAAGTCAACAGCATCGGCAAAATTGGCCCGGCTACGAACCCCGCACTCGCACAGGCCATCACGTGAGCACGCTGGCAATGCAGTGTCAGGCAGGGAGGGGCTCGAGTCATCTCTTTCTCTGTCTGCGACTCCCCTGGCTTTCTTTGTTTGCTGCAGCAAGGCTGTCTGCGACCATTTGCCAGTCCCTGCAAATCGAGTGTGAGCGAATTTGCAGCCAGAGCACTGCCGCACCAGAGCTCATCCATCCATGTGTGTGATTGTCTGTCTGTCTGTCTGTCCGCACCATGCACAAGTTTGTCACCATGTGCGACGTGCCGGCGGCAAACTGGGCCCACGGAGGCACCACCTTTGGCTGAATGCCTGAAGAGTCATGCATGATTTAGTGTGTGGGCGTGGCGTGAGTGCATCGGAATGATGCTGAGCGTCCAGTGAGTGCTGATGAATTGAATGATCCCCAGGACAGACTTTTCCACGGACAGCTCTTTCTTTGGCATCGTGTTATCCCAGCCATGTGTTGTGGTTTGGGTGAAATGCTTATCTCATGGACGGACAGTCTGACGGCAATTAAGGCGTCTTGAGTGAGCGCAGTCAGTCATCACATGGACGTGTTGCCATGCCAGTCAGCATCTAACAGAGCAGCAACATACCGTGCAGCACAGCACCAGCACCCACCAGGCAGGCGCCCAACCCTCCCTCCCATACACAGCCACACCCATCCATCCATCCAGCCATCAAACCATCAAACCACGCATGGCATGCTACTAGCAGCATTATCACATACATACAGGCAACCAGAACCAACCAGCAAAACCATCGCCCCTAGCTGGACACACAACACACACGCCCCCATTGGTGTCTGTCACCATCAATCATCACCCACCACAGGCGCCAACACATACATACGCGCCTGGATTGTCTGTCTGTCTGTCTGTCTTACCCACCCACCCGCCACCCATGCATGCCGTGATCGCAGAAATGGATCCATCCATCCATCAGTTCGTCAACCCATGCATCCCCCATCTTTGTACCTACCCATCAGCCGCAAGCAAAGCCAGCTGATTGGTTGACACAAACGTCCAACCCACACGAACAGCTTATATACACCTGTCTATGCACTGCACACACACTCACACGCCAGCCAGGTCAGTCAGCGAGGGTGTCAGTTAGTTACCAACCAAAGCCTCCCTCCCTCCCCCCCCCCAGCCCTGTCTGTCTGTCTGTCTGTCTGTCTGTCAGTCAAAACCGCACGCAAAAGCAAGTAGGCAACGAAAAAGGGCTAGCTACAACGAGCGAGCGAGACACCCACCACACTCACTCGCTCAAAGGCTCGTTCGGTGTCTCGGTGAGGCGGGCTCCGACATGATGTGCAGCCCATCGTCATTGTCTGGCTGTGTCTGTCTGAGTGCCAGCAGGACCCGCTCGATGCGCGCCAGTTGCTGCACCTGGTCAGAGAAGATCCACGTCAGCACTGACCGGGGCGTGAGGGGCGGGGGCTTCAGGTCCAGCTGGGCGATGTACGTCAGGTGCAGACGGCCGTCCGGCTCCCGCCTCGCATGCACGCCACCCATCTGCATGGCATGGCAACACAATCCCCACGGCACACAGACAGACACAGATGACGGGTGGTGAGAGGGGAGACAGACGGTCGCTTCCTTCCAGGATTGCGTTGCGTGTGGTGGTACCAGGATGGAGGCTCGCGTGGCCCTTTTCTTGGGCGTCATAAGCAGGCTGTCGGGGACGAGCGGACCCAGATCGACGGCAAGGAAGAGCATGCTGTCCTTCTCCTGCACACACACACGCACACACACGCGCACGCACAGAGATTATAATACACACAAATGGATTGGTGCTTACTGACCTCGACGACGTGTGTGATGTGGGCGAGGACTCGGTTGAGGTCTGCGGGGATGGCACTCTTGTACACCTGCACACACACACAAAACACACGAATGAAGGCCGATTGATTCGTGACTGCACTGGGTCGATCGACAGACAGGTGACCATACATACCTGGTATGTCAGCCATGTGTTGGCATCAACCTCCGCCACATGAGTCCCTGCAGTGAGTGCAGTGACCGACACACAACACACACGCGTGCAGTGCAGTGCACCCCTCGGTCATGTCATTGCGTGTCGCGTGTGAAGGAGGTACGCCTGACCTCCCTCAAACAGCCAAGTCTACACACACACACACACACACAGAGAGAGAGAGAGAGATATGGACAATTAGTGTGATCGAGTCCTGTTCGCAGCCAGACAGAGGGGGATACCTCGAACTCGTGTCTGTAGAGGCAGTTCTTGTCGACGTATACGGTCCGCAGGTCGCTCATGCAGACATCGGGCGACTTCATGACGTACTCGCCCCTGATGAACGGCAAGGGGGACGGGCCACTGGGGTCGCTGAACGTCCACATCTGGCCGTCAGGCGGGCAGCCCAGGCAGGCAACACACCGCACACGGGAAGGAAGGAGTACACACCAGGGCCGGGCCGGGCGGGTGTCTGTCTGTCTGTCTTTATGACTCACCGCGACTCCGTTCTTGGTGGACTGTTTCTTCCATGGCGTCGACTGGCTCTTGAGCAGCTGGAGATACCGATCCTGACCAGACTTGATCTGACGGCCGGCCCACACAAAAGCATGTCACCATCCATCCATCGGCTCATTCTGCCTCCTCCCCGGTTGTTTCTCTCCCGAACTCACCAGTGCGCGGATGTCCTCCACCTTGACTTTGGCGGTGGGCGCGCCCTGGCTTTTCCTGTCGTGGGCCACGTGTGGTTCTTTCGTACTTTCCCCTCCGGGCCTTCTGAACGCGCCCCCCTCCACCTGGCCCCTCAGCGGCCAACACGCGGGCCAGCATACCTCAGACCTGTCGACGACTGGTGGCTTTGGCGAAGGGGCCTTGCTCGGCGACCGCCGGCCACTCACTGGCGTGGTGATGGGGCCGAAGAGTGAGTCGGCCTCCCACTGCTCGCCCAAGTCGTGTTTGTGCTGCCTGGTCTTGGCCCGCGCTCGGCGTGAGTGGATGATGGACGCCACGGACGCCTCGAGGGAGAAGGAGCCCATATTGGGTGTGGAGGGGGCGCGGTGCAGGGAGGAGTGGGGCGATGGACCCAGAGGAACGGAGCCTGAAGGACGACAAGAGATGACTGACGGCATGGTGCGTGGCAAGGCAACCTAGTATGTGGAGTGAGTGCATATATCGTACCCGCTGCTCCCCCTGTGGGGCTCGATGGCTTCCCGCCGGACGAACTAGAGTCATCCGAATGGGAGGCCGCCTCCCACTCCTCATGGTGGTGCGACCCGGCAACCACACATGAAGAACAGGCAGCGGTGGACAGCGAGGTGGAGATGCTTCGGGACGACAAGACGCTCTGCTGAGAGGGCTTGCTCCTCATGTGGGCAGCAGCCGTCTCGGCGGCACAGCCGTCCACTCCCTTCTGGCGTTCCTCTTGATCCGCGGGCAGCGAGTGATGCGATGGCGATGAGGGCAGGGTGGGTGCCCCGTCCGACAATGTGTGGTCGTCAGCCTCATCGTCGGTGCTCTCAGCCGCTGTCGCCTTGTCGTGGCCCCGTCGCCAGAAGGAGAAGACGCCTCGAGACTTCTTGGGACGGGGCGGAGGCCTGCGCCGCCCAGACCTACCCCTCACCCCCTCTCGGTCTCTTGTCGCCTCCGCTCGCCCATCTGCCGGCTTGGTCTGTTCGCGCGTCGGAGGGACGGGGAGTGGCACGGGTTGCGGAGACGAATCAAGGTCTCGTCGCCTCCCCTTGCTGCGGGTGGTGGGATGGGATGCCTCCCGCCCCTCCATTCTGGCGTCACTGCTGCGGTGCCGTCTCCTCTGCGTGCGTCTCTCCTCGATGCGCATGTACGTGTCCACCAGCCCGTCGAGCAGCGATGTCAGCCCGCCCTCCGTGCTGCCCTGACCCCCGCACACTCTGCCGCCCTCTAGCAGCGGCGAGCGATCCCCAAGCAGGTCCACCACAGGCGCCGTGTCGCGGGAGGGGGCAGGGGCGGGGGCGGGGCGGGGGGTCATGGGAGACAGCCGACCACCTTCCCTGGGAGACGGATTAAAGCTTCTCTTCCTCGCGGACGTCCGTTTCACATTGTCGGCCGCTTCGCCACGTCCCTTTGGCATGGCCGATTGCTGTTGCATTGGCGCCTCCAGAACGTCGCTGGCGGTAGACACAGAGAAGACGGACGGTGGCGAGCGGCGTCGGGCAGCGTTGAGAGCACCTAAGGGGTAGGAGGGGAGGGTGGTGGTCTCCTCGTGGCAGCTACTTGCACCGGATGCGGCCTGCTCGCGGGGCTGAGCGTCAGTCGCGCCCATGCTGATGCTCACGACCTCCAGATCTGGCGTTTCCACAGGCAAGGGCATCTGGAAGTCGCATTCGTCCTCTGCGAGCTCGACCGCCCACCCGTCTCCACCGTCTCCTCCCTCTGTGTGTCCCACCACGGAGTCCAAATGAGCCTCAAGTCTCCCCTTGTCGCATGCAACTGCTGCCGGGGACACCTTCTTGCTGGCCTTCCGGTGCCTCCGCTGCATGCAGATCTTGAGGATGGCGCAGATGGCCAGCCCCAGGCAAAGCTGCTGGCCGGCGGCCATGATGAGGCCGGCCACGAGGAGCCACACGGCAAAGGGCTTCAGAGGGAATCGGGCGATCAGTTGGTGCTCCAAGGTCGGCACACAGGCGGGAAGGGGGCTGGAGGCGTCGGTGATGGATTTGCCGATGTACAGGGGAGGAGAGGCCTCGCATACTCCGGCACAACTGACAAATGGATGGATCCAAGTACGAGCAGATTGAAAGACACATGGCCCCAATCAGTCTTTGTCTTACCCCAATTCCGTCTCAGCGATCTTGGCGAGCTTCAAGAAGTGCAGAATGCGCTCTGTGGTCACGCTGTAGCCCACCAGTGACATCCGGTACTGCTGCAAAAAGGCGTTGTTCGGAACCCTCCAATCACCCTTGCCCATCTCCATGGAGTGAACCGCCCTCCTCAACCCGCCGGCATTCCCGTCACGCACAGCCTCCTCCCCGGCGCAGTCGAGCAGGTTGAACACCCCTTGTGGCGCACAGACCCCCATGAGGTCGTCATGCGCCTGGTGGTACCAGGCCGTGTATAGCCAGAGTGGCCGGTCGGTAGACGTAGAGGCGAGGGCTGTGTCGTGGGGAGGGGAGCCGCATAGCACTGACGGGGGAGAGGGGGAACTGGTGGGCAGGTGACGGTGTTCGGAAACCTGCCAGGACAAACCAAGATGCAGAATACCACGTCACTCGAATGTCTGTAACCAGGCACAATGGCTGTGACTGACCAGTACGAGCACCGCTAGGGCAGCGGTGCAGGTCGCAAGAGCCGCAGGGATCCTTAACAGCGTGGTTGTCAAAAAAACGGCCCCGCAGCTCCATCCACTAAATCGCCCTCGGGCGGTCCTCCGCCCCTCCTTGTCGGTCACATTGGCTTCTCCCGGCTGGGTCAGGCTCACAGCTGTCGATGATGCGGGTCGCCTGTCTAGATGTCCGGTGAGCAGGAGGCTGGCAATGTTGATAGCAGTGACGGCGAGAGAGATCCCGAGCCCCGCCACAACCGCAGCATAAGGGATGGAGTTGAGGGCCAGCACCAGCTTCAACCACAGGGGAATCAACAGTCCAGCGATAAAGAAGGTAAGCAAGACCACGACTTCGGCAATGTAGCCGAGGCAGCAGCATATCGACAGAATCGTCACCCGCCGCATAGGTCCGGCAGCCGAAGCCACACGAAGTAAGTGTCACTGCTTGGGAAGGGGAGGGCCTTGTGGCCGCCTTGTGTGCGTCGTGGGCTCGTGCCCTGACCCTCGCCTCAGTCGTCGTAAACCGCCAACGGCTGCATGTTACCCTAGACCCTACAAACCCTACAGGGTTGCGGACAATATTTTGAAGCTTCCCCTTTTTCCTTGGGCTGCGTGACGTGGCTTCCGCCAGTAATGCAGATTCACTCAGCCGCAGACTCGAATAAATAAACACGTGGTTACATGCTTTCTCATATATCCCGTCTCTCGCAGTCCTGTGAAAGACGCACAATATACATAGATAAATGGCGAAAAGGATTTGTACAAATATACTAACGTGTCACACGGACACACCCACACCCACACTCACACGGAGAGAGAGAGAGAGAGAGAGAGAGAGAGAGAGACGATACGCATACGAAACTGCCTGCCCCTACGACCTAATTAATCACTGGCATGTGCTTCCTTCCTCATTGGGATGGCGGCCTCGCTTTATGTATGTCATCATCATACACGGTCGGCCTGAAAGTCTTAATTCATCGGGAGACACCTGAGCCCGCATGAGCTGGCCAGAGCAGGCTACACCCATTTTTTCTCATTCCGACATCCTCACAGTGACAAAACCAAAAATGGCATGATGAGCACGAAGTCCAAACTTCCCCCTGGCTCTGTGAGCACATGAGGCACATCCCACGGCAGCCACCCACCCCCCCAAAATAGAGATCTGCACTTTTCACTGCCTAGCTACCATCTGCCTGTCTGTGTGTCCGTCGGCCGTCTGCTCTCTATGCATTGTGGGTGTGTATCTTGGATCTTGTGATGCTGAGAACGGCCTCGTAGACGCGCTCGATGATAGGAAGCAGCACGGGCGCAGCAGCCCTGAATGCATCACACGTGCAGGGCAAAGAAAGAAAGCAGTCCGTCTGGTTTGTGTGGCTGCCCTTGTCTGCTTGGCTGACTGACTTACGTTGCCAGATTCATCTTCATGGTGGCAACAAACGGATCTTGCAGAAGGTCAGGAGTGAGTTTGTTGGGCCTGCGGAGTCGGCGCATGCACGCAGGCATAGTGACGACTTTGTGTGTGGCTGCCTTTGTTGCGGGGTCGATAGTGTGAGAGGCTACGTACATGTACCTCTTTTCGTATCTCATGATGCCGGCTTTCATTGCGACATCTGCATAAGGATGCTGCATGCCCTCTTGGACCTTGACCAACACTGAGAATTGGATCAACAAACAAATACGCGAGGAAGTGCGTGTCAAAGTGTGGGTTTGTCTGGAGATCGACGCACCTGATATGAGCTCTGCAAGTCGGCACATGAGGGCCCCCGCACCGTACCGCGGCTGCTGCGTGCCAAAGATGACGTAGTTCTTCTTGCCCGGCATGAACGCGCCCTAAACACAAGTGCCGGATGAAGGCGTGTGTATGCATTGGCTGCACTCTACCTACCTCAATCAGTTTCGGTACGCCGGCATCCCAGTAGGTGAGTGTTGGCTCACATAACGGGTAGGTCAGGTGGTAGCCTGCAGTGGACACACGTACACCAGATGAGCACTCACAACATGTCAACGAACAAGCGTCGGTTGCCCACGGCAGTGTGTGCGCTGTTCACTTGCTTACCAGTGGCACAGACGATCATGTCAACGGTGATGGTTTTGCCATCCACAAACGTCACCTCCTTGCCTGCAGAAGGACACACAAACGTCCACATGAATATGCATCTCCACACGTGGATCCCTCACGTACCGTCAACGGATTTGACGCCGGGGTGAGGGATGATGCGGCCAAGCTTCAGATAGTGCAGGAATGTGTCGTGGATCGTGGGATGCAGCTCGTACAGATCATGGTCGGGCTTCTGCAGACCGTATGACCGATAATCCTGCACATAACATATGTACAACACACACACAGCAAGAGCTAAAGCCCGTTGGTACACCCACACAGTCTGTGCGCTGTTTTTCGACTCACTCACCCCGACAGCGATTCGCAGCAGCCATTTGGTGTACCTCCTGACGAACCACGTCGGCCACCAGGGCGTGATCAGCCTGCCAAGTGGCAGGCCAAACCCCGTCCGTGGGAGGATCCAGTGACCCCTGATGCGATGCGCACCGCACAGCCGCATGACAAGCACACGCACGTCGGCGTGGCGTGGCATGCATCAAACCATCCGCATGGATGTAGGCACATACGTACCGCCTCAGTGATGCATGTGCCTCCGCGGCCACTTGTGCAGCGTCGGCGTTGACGTCCATGGCTGAGTTGCCGCCACCCAGAGTGAGGACCCGCTTGCCTCGCAGCTGCTCCCGCGTCTTGTAGTCCTTCGAGTGAATCATCTCGCCACTGAACGTGCCTGTACACGCAGTGGTCGTCTAGCATTCCCCTCGCTGCCTCCCTCCTTTGCTACCTTCGAGCTTTGGCCATCGTCTGTTCCTGTGGTGTCCCGTGCACACGATGACCCCCTTGTAGACGTGCTTCTGCGGCGAAACGGCCTCCCCTTGGTGGCCGGCCGTCTTGGTCTTGATGGTGACGGTATAGGAATTCCCGCACCCATCGTTTGGCGCGATGTGCTCAACCTCGGTCTCGAGCCTCACCATCGGCAGGACGCCCCAGTGGGCCGCATAGCTCTTCAGATACGCAAGCATCTGCACAGGCAGACAAACGAACATCACGAATCTACTGGGAGGCCCATGTGTGTGTGTGTGTGTGTGTGTGTGTCTTGGGTGCCATGGACGTGCCTGCGCTTTAGATGGGAACTCCGGGTAGTTTTTTGGCATGGGGTAGTCTTTGTACTCCGTTTCAAGACGACTACTAATGATGTGGACGTCGTTGTACACCTGCAGACATACATACACACATACAAACGGAGAGGGGCAGACATCCATATGTGGACAGACAGGTGAGGTCGGTGCTGCCTTGTCTCACTCCGTTGAACCAGTTGCCGCCGATCTCCTCATTGGCATCCACAATGTCGATGGGGATCCCGTGACGCTTAAACGACGCACCTACTGCCAACCCACTGAACCCTGTACAGGCCACACACAGACACACAAACTAGCAATGAGTAGATGGCGCTTGCAATCAGTCCCATGTTCCCTCCGTGCTTCTGTCTGCGCCTTAATTACCTGCGCCCACAACCAGAATCTTCTCCTCCGTTTTGTCGACCTTCGCGGCCCTGGCTATCCTCTCCTCGTCATACACCACCTGAACAATCGCACACACGTAACGCATGTTTAAAATACGCAGACTCCGATTGAAGAAGAGCTGTCTGCTTACGTTTATCAGCTTGCTGGGATCGGCCGTCCTGGACCAGAAGAGCCACCAGCCGACACAGAAGAGCGTCGTCAAACCAACAACAGCCAAGATGACAAGGCGCACCACATCAAGCGACGGGCTGGCGGGGTCAAACAAAGCTGTCACGTCCATCATCGCCGCATGGGAGATGCGCACGTCAAGCTCGCAGGAAAGCGGAACCGCCTAGGGTGCTCCATGAAACTGCTGCTGCTGCAACGGACCGGTCCCCCCAAAAACGACGGTCGTGGAAATGTCCAACGCGCTGACGGTGAAAGGCGAGGCTGTGAGACCGCCTCAATCACCTGGGGATGAATGTGTACATCAACCAGCCGCTCTCTCGACCTTCTCGTCCAATCTCTCGTCCTCAGTCAGCCTCCCGGGCCCACAACAGCACGACGTTGAACAGACAAACAACACAGCACCTGGACCAAGCGACCACATCACAACCACAACACACGGCGACAGCGAAAGACACCACGAAAGACGGAACACGATTACGTCAACCATCGGCACAACCACAACTGGCACAGGCGACACGAGAGATTCGGCCTCTGGCCGTGGGCTGCGTCGTGAGGAGCGTATTCTAGCGGATTTGGTCCATGACTTCAGGGAGGCGGCAGGCTACGAGGCTAGTTTTGAAGAGTGGCCGACCACACTTGAGTATAAAACGATGCATCACCCCGACGGCAGCACAACAGAGGTGTTTGTCGGTGCAACTTTTGAGCCCGAGCCGTGCATGATGACCTTGAGGCGAATTTCTGTGGCTCTACTTCAGCAGTCAGCAATTGCTCTCGCCATTGCGATCGTCCTCGTCTGTTGCACTCTAATGTTCACCCATTGGTGTATGTCGGTATTTGGCATCCTTCGCCTCATTATAGATACTCTCGCGCTGCTGCTCCTGCTCGTGCTCGTCACAGATGGGACCGACCGGCGAAGAATGATAGTGCGGCTGAAGAAAGAGTGGCTCGTCTTTCTTCCGTTATTGGCGCTCGACGTGGCGCTCGGTCTGTTGATCTCTATTGGTCGTGGGCTCCATTTCGACACCCAAGAAAGAAGAAACATCATCATTCCGATTTACTGGAGCTCATCTTATGCGGCTATATTTGTGTACGTCTGGCGCGTTGCGGGTTCGTTGAATATTAGGGCCAGACGAGAGTATGTTATGAAGGTCACGGCAGCTGTCACGATGGCGCTGACTATGATAATAATATGGAGCGTTGCTCTCTCGCCACGATTTGCTGCTGCATCATCCACTGACAGGGACCGATTCTGGATGGCTGTCATATATCTCGCAGTCTTCATGCCCGCTATCGGACTTGTCAATAAACTCGTGCGGTCGCTCAAAGTACGAACTGACTAACAGAGCCAATTAAGAGACAGCGGACTTCGTTTCTCATGATGCTATGTGTATCCAGGAGGGAGTTCCCACATGCAATTCGCTGCTTATAGCACTGCCTGCGATAGTCTATGTGCTCTTCCCACGTCAGTCACCTCTTCATGGCTGACACACGTACAATAGGGTGTGTGATGTTCCTGATCAGGCATGCTCCAAGCCGAGGCCGTGACGCTGAACAGCAAACTCTTCTATTCTGTTCTCATCTCAATCTTTGACCTGATCATGGACATTTCCTCCCCCTACTGTACGCGCCTCTGCCATGGACACATCAGTGAATTCTTGGTCAATTATGCTTGTCTCCTTCCATGTATCAGCGATTCTACTTTATCTCTCGGCCCAGAAGTTTGTCAAGGCCCGGTGCAAGAGACGGACACTCACAGCTTATAGCTTCACTCACATCGCGGTGACGGCGACCAAAGCGGAGGCGGTCAGTGGATCAGCCATGGGCAAGGACAACGACGCTACGAAGACCCAGCACAGAAAGAGAAAGAACAGTCATCTGCTAAGGCGTCAAAGCTCAATCATGACCACAGCGCTGTCTCTCGCTGCTCCAGTCGGAGGGCTGCAGTCGGCCTTGGTCTCACTCGAAGTGTCTCCAAGGTACCCGCGGCCACAATAGACTCAGACACCATCTACACAGTGTGCGCTTACGTGTGTACTCATTGCAGGTATCTACGTGCACTATCCGACCAGGTGAACATCTGGTCCACCTGTGAGTTGGTGGCCCTTTTGTTTACCAACCTGGCTGTACTCACGGCCCAAGCTTACGCAGGCGCGTCATGGGAGCAGCTTGTGGAGGGAGCCATGGGTTTGGTGGTACTGGTGGCTATCGAGCAGCTATTCGAGCTGTGCGTGCTGTGTGTTTTGATGAGGTGGAACAACCTTCCCATGCTTTCGTCCAGGTCTGAGAAAGGCGTTCTTCGCCGTACAATACTGACATTGTTCCTGGTCGCCGGCTCCTGGTACGGCGCATTTATCGATCGGTTGCTCACTGCATTTGTATGTTTCTGTCTCTCTCTCTCTGTCCGTGTGTGTGTAGCATTTCCACGTGGCTGCCGTTCTTTTTGATGTCTCTGCTGCGCACCGTCAGCCGCACAGTTGCACAGCCCAGGGGTATCACACCTGAGCTAGAGTCGTCCGACCTGGCTGCTTACTGCCCACATTTCCTTCCTGTCACCTAAGAAGGAGCCGGGCTGCCAGCGTTGTGCTGATCATGAGTGGAGAGCTGTCTCGGAGAAGTCAGACACACAGAGCCGAGCAGAGTGAAGTGTGACATGCAAGGCGACCCGGCGCAATTGTTGGATTGGAATGAACATAGGGCTCGATCGGCTCCAGAAGCGTAGGCCATGGCCATGTGCAGGAATCCATAGATGGGCACATAGGAGAGAAGAAGCTGGGGATGTGGGGCATCTATGGGGCTTTACTTAAGTGAGACATGCTGAGTTTTTTTGAAAAGACTGCTCGTTGTCTCACTGTCTCTGTTCCGGGAGGTTTTTCGTTGGCTGCAGCGCGTAGGGCCATGCTCTTGTCCTCGTCATGTACCCTCTGCGAGATGACATTCACGCCAGCACATCATGCACGCCATCGCACGCACACCACAAGCAGACAGACGGTCGCTCGACATTCACATATATGTATTTGACGACTGCGGCGTGCTGTCCTGCATGGCGTGAGTAGCACACGGGCTGCGGGCGAGAGGACAGCCGTCGACTGAGCACTTCGGAAAAAAAGAATCAATGGGTCAGAGGATTCTGAATCAATGGCGCACGGCAGGGAAATGGAGAGAAGAGCTTGACGGCTGCTGCTGAGAGATCTTTGTAGCACAGCGTCCAAATGTGCATTGCGATGGCTTGTTTTGGCGCTGCTGAGCTGGAGAGGGCGGCTGGGGCGGACTGGAAGAGGGCGACGCAACATCCATTCATCGACGGCATCGGGGACGGCACGCTGCTGTTTTGGGAAAAGTTCAAGCAGCAGCGCCAAAACAAGCCAAGTGCACGTTTGGACGCTGTGCTACAAAGATCTGTCAGCAGCAGCCGTCAAGCTCTTCTCTGCACCATTGTCTGCTTCTCCATCCACTTAGGCTCGCAGCGAGGGGGTCCTGGGGGTTTCCCGTCTCGTGACGGAGACTTGCAGATAAATCGAGATTGCGTACGTGGTGTAAGAACCATGTTCGTCGGCAACGAGGCGCCCAGCCGGGCCAACAAGCGTTCAAAGAGGACAAACAAAGCCGCCAAAGGGGACGTGGCGTCTGGCCGGTTCTCTTGCGTGGCTGCGCTGGGCATGATACTGTGGATCTGCCTGTTCATCTGCTGTGTGCTGGGTGAGCTCTCACTGAAGCAAACTGAATGAGCTCTCACTACGTGCAGCTCTTCATTGAATTGGTACGGCTGCCTGATTGTGAGTGCATGCAGCTCTTGTGCTGAACAACTACGAGGAGGGCGAGGAGCTGGGGCTGAACATGAAGGGCGAAGAGACCTCATACATACAAGGCCCGGCCCGTGAAAAGTTCAAATATAGGCGTACGTGTCGCACTATGAGGAGTGAGTCCTCATGTTAGGGTGTCGACGAATCATTTTTGTTGCGTTCGTGTGCAGTGCCCCAGAATGCTTTGCTTTTCAGCCTTGCCGCCGGCTGTTTCGCCGTCTTCACTGCAGCATATTTCGTTTCATTCATTCTCATACAGGGCAGAGGCCCGCCGCCGACCATCACCCAGTCCCAGTATATTTATCGAGGCCTTAAGACCCATGCCTGGTCCTCCCTCCCGCCGCAGATAGCGGTGGGGTGCGTCTTGGCGGTGTTGGTGGGATTCTCGTCGGAAGAAATAAAAAAGGGGACGGGGTTCGCATCTGGCGGTGCCTTTTGTGCCGGGGCTCTTCTCCTGCTTTTGAGCCAATTGTTGGGTCTCTGGACCGTTGCCAATGCCAATCTACGTGTCGCGAACGCTCTGGCGGGAGACAAGGGCCTGTCGGTCGGATTGCGCATTGCAACACGAGCCGGTGGGGTCTGTGGGCTTGTCTCACAAGCGTTTGCTCTGATGGGATGCGCTGTGCTGTACCTTTTCATTACGGATCTGGTGGTCCTCGTCGCGTGAGGAAGAGAAAGGAAGGAAATACAGCTGATTTCACCGCCATTCTACATTTCGATCGTATCCCCTGTTTGTGTTCAGCTTCGCGGCTGGAGGGTCTTACCTTGCATTCCTCATACGTGAGCAGAAGACTTATTGAGAGACACAAACCCGATCGCTTTTTCCTTCGCCTTTATGCAGGCGTTGGCGGAACAATCTTCTCGAGCGGCGCCAGGATTGGCGACGATCTTATTGGTGCCTCTGATGAGGTCAGCGCCCAACCAATGGTGGATTGTGATGTATCCACTGGCTGTTTCTCCTGGTTATGTTGTGTCTCCCTCCCTCCCTCCCTTGCTTGCTGGCCTTCAGTCTCGCAAGATGGAGGAGGACCGTATCTTTCAGCAGGTATGCACCCGATGACCCTCACGTATTTTGTCGTGTCACCATTGCCCTGTCTCCATGTATGCCACAGCAAGTCATGCTCAAAAAGGCAGAAGAGGTCGGCCGCATCCCAGCCACTGACGCCCAAAATGTGTCTTTCGGTCGATACATTTCTCGCACTGTTATTCCTCCTTCAGGCTCGCCGCGAACGGCCCAAGCAGGGAGACGTGGAGGCACCAGTAAGTTTCGGGAAGTCGACTGCACGGCTTCTTTTTTGTCCTTTTTGCTTTGCTCAGGCTGACGACGACGACGACGACGAGGTTCAGGCAGGGTTTGACGGCAAACATCACCCCATAGAAATGCTCCCATCGGTCGGCGGGAGCATTTCAGAGGCCTCGGGATCAGCTACGGATGCCTTTGAGAGCCTAAGCCTAGCGCTGGCCATCACTGCAATGGTCGGTGTCAAACACTTGGTCAATGATCCGGAAATGGGGGCAGCTCTTCCTTTCTGGGTAAGTTACCCGGAGAATAAAGAAGATGTGGCGCGCGCAATTTCGTGCCATTCTACAGAGTCCGTTTTCGATCATCAGATTGCTGGCGGAGGTGTTGCGTCTTCTGCCCTTCTTTCCTTCGGTCTCATCGTGTTTGAATCTTCATCGGCTCGCATGCTTCGGCTGGCTCTTCGAGCGTCAAATATGCTGTGTGGAGCAGCGGTCGTCGGGGTGCCCCTCGCCGTGCTCCTTATCAAGCAGCATACTGACAAAACAGTAAAAACAGGAAGTGGAAGAGCAGACAAACAAGAGACATGCCCCTGTCCTCTCTGCTGATGTTGCATGTAGAACATCGGCTTCACCCAAATTCTTCAGTTCGCTTTCTGCATTGGAGCTGGCGTGTTGGCGCCCGAGCTTAACTCCGTCATTTGTGAGGTCCTCACAGATATCCAGTCAGTGCCGTCGCGCATAGCATCCATCGCTGAGCATGGAGGCCCAGTGCAAGTGCTGCTCTCCGGGACATCTTGTGGCTTCCTGGGGACAATTCTGCCGTCTTTGGTCGCCATGCTTGCTGTGACTGGTGAGACCTGACGACCAAACATACATAGGTCACAGCAAGCGGGTGCGTGCTTGCTTGCGTTATTCGCCATCCAGGTGCGTTTCACCTTGAAGGTTTCTATGGTGAGCGCCTGCATTCACGAGAGAATACGGGGGCTGTATCTGTTTGTTGTGCCCTCAGGCGTTGCCCTTCTGACAGTGGCCTCGCTGGGGGCCAGCCCCTTCTACGTGCGTACCAGCACACAACGCTGACTGACTCGACAGGCGACACATGCAAATGCTTCCATCGCATGTGTCAGGCCTCAATGGCGGCGTTTAGCGCCGTGTCCTCCAATGCGTATTTCTTGGTGCCCACAGTGGCGAGCACAGCAGGGGTGGGGGGCGGGAGGTCGTCAGGCAGGGCGAGACGGAGAGCCATCAAGATGATCGAACTCAGTGCTGCGACATCGCAGTCCGGTGAGTGCGCTGTTCCAGGGAGGACAGGCCTGCTGCTGGTTGGTGGCTGAGCAAGCCCGTCTTTCTCTGTTTTCTATAGGCAAGGTGGCCAGCGTCACTTCTGTTCTCTTCTTGGCTTTTTGTGTGAGCATCATCGTGCTGGCGGAGGCCCTTACACGTGACAACCAGCAGCTGGCAACCTTTGTGGGAAGGCCGATTAGCGAGTTCAGCTTCATTGGTCTTTTTTCCGGGGTGTTTCTGCCTTTTGGGTTTGTGGGTGTGACGATGGCTGCTGTGTCGGGCATCGGGCATGAGTACGTGACGCATTGCAAGACGCAGCTGAAGGAGGACTCGCCCGACCGGATCGTGGCTCTTGTGCAGCGGCTGGTAGCGTTTGGTCAACATCGATCCTATGAGAAGGTAAGCCATTGCCGATGGAATCCGCGACAAGATTCCCATTCCTTAATCCAGGTTGCTCTCCCTCTGGTGGTGTCAATCGGAGCGCCACTCATGGCCGGGATGTTTCTCGGTGCACCTGGGCTCAGCATCTTTCTACAAGTGAGAAAGAGAGAAATAGTTGACAATTTCTCTCAAACGTCCTCCTCCTTCTCTCCGTCCTCCGACAGACGTGTGCCATCACAGCGTTTTGCCTGTCGACCTTTCTGACTGTCACGGCTTCCCTGTTTGAGTCTGCGAGAAACGTGAGCTATCCATACGCGACACACACAGGGAGGGAGGCAGAGAGTCAGGGAGAAGAAAGAAGCATCAGTGACAGACATCTGTGCGTTGTGTATGTGTGTATGTGTGTGTGTGTGTGTGTATGTATTAATGCAGTACATACTGTACGGCAATCTGGTCAAGGACGCGGATGCGTCAGGGAGAGTGGCCAGGGTGCAGCCCGGCGACCCGCCCTACAATGCACTCACTCTCGCAAGAGTGAGACTTACTTAGCAAGAGCTGCCAGAACATTGAGAGAGCACGGCATGGCGAGTCTGTGTACTGTGTGCGACAGTCGATTGGTGCTCCGATGGGTGACGCAAGTGGTCCGGCGCTGGCGCAACACGTCAAGCTGATACTCGGTAACCGCCTTACCAATCGGGCACGAAGGCGACACACGTTCTGCATCCACCCTGTGCTTCTCCTTCCCGTGGGCTGCAGTGTTTGGTGTGCTGTCTCTGGGACTGTTCAAGATAGACCCCGGGAAGACTTGGGAGTATGGGTTTGTGGCGGCAGCCGGGGTCGTGTTGTGTGCTTCGCTCATTGCAATCGTCTCGAGGTGGCTGGCACTAAAGAGAACACCCATCAAGTATGCTTCAATGCGCAGAAAACAACAACAACAACAACAACAAAAACATTTCTGGCCCATCCTTGTCTCTCTGTGTGTCTGTCAGCACCATGCTATCGAAGACAGAGTTGGATTACCATGACAGCCGCATAGAAGCCACCAAGACCGGTAAGAAAAAACATCAAGAGAGACTTCTTTGCCATCGGCTGGCCCACGTGTGCGTGTGTGTGTGTGTCCCCGCTGGCTGGCCGCAGAAGCGATGTTGACGGAGCAGGGCGACGCCTCGCCGATGTCACTTGCTCGCGAGGGCGGCGCCTCGCCCCTGTACCGAGAAGCGACCCAGGCGACGGATGCAGCTGCTCGGTCGTTCCAACTTCACAAGAGCTCAGAAGAGATGTAACACGGCCATGCAAATGTCTCTTGCTCGGCCTGATTGAAGTGTTGTAAGGCGCGACTCTCTGTGTGTGTCTCTGTGTGGTCCTGGGGACAGAAATGCCAATCATTATGGTGTGTGATTGATTGCATGTCAGTCTGTGTTTGTCTGTTTGTCCACACAAACAGATAAGCAAATGAGCTAGCTTTTCCATCCCTCTCTGTCTGTCCGCCCTGCACGCTGATCAGTCAGCTCTTCATTCGGTTGACATCTCATCAGACACCGCCCGACTGCATCATGTCGGACAGATCCACTCCACACGACACACGGCCGTCCACTCGTGAGTCACCACACACGATCCACGCCCTTCGCCTGTCTCACCGCATGGCCGTCGTCCGTCGGCCTGTTGATGACTTGCGGGACGTCATAAAACGACCTGCACGCACCAAGGACAATTTAGGCACTCACTCTGTGTGCGTCAGTCACATCGGCCGACATCATGACGACACTGACCGGCGCTGCTTCTTGTAGTTGTTGCGCCGCTCGTTCGTGCGCATTGTCGGGGGCCTGCTGTGTGTCTCGGCTTCGCTCTGCAGCAAGCACAATGACAGAAAGAAAGACAGACAGACAGACAGACAAAGAGGTCAGATGCTGCCAAAGCAGCCAGCCTCTTCTCTCTCACTTTGTTTTCATTTGTCATTTTGGCGGTCTTGTGGTCGTGTCTGAGCATGACGTCATGCTCCTGAGCCACACACACAGAGAGCATCGCCTGTCTGTGTGTCTGTGTCTGCCTCTTTGTTTGTTTGGTGACTTGCTGTGCGGCGGCCAGACGTTTTTGCAGCGATTGCCACGTCGCCTCGTACTCGTGCTGCTCCTGCACACACATAGATGGACAGCACAAGCAGCGAGGATGGATGGATGGATGGATGTGTGGGTCATGAAGTCAGACCTGTTGTGTCTTGTGGAGGTCGCAGGTCAGTTGAGAACTGTGGACATAGACCTGACAGCGAGAGAGACACCGAATAAATGAATGAATGAATGAATGAGGCACACACAGAGACACACACACGCACTTGTCGCGTCTCCCGTCTGATCGATGCGATCCTCTCCTCAGCCTCAGCACACGCTGACACTCACACACACACACACGCACACACACCGATCGGTGAATGGGGAACTGAAGACGCAGAACAGCAGAGCAGTCGACCGACCAATGGATGGATGTCTCGCCTGACCTTTCTTCATGTCTTCGACGTCCTTCCTGGCCGCTTCCTTTGCCCTCTCCAGCTGACCGCACTTGTCCACCGCGTCGACGTACTCGGCCCTGGCGTGCAGCTCGGCCACCGACAGATATCGGGCCGGCAGCGCCTTCAGCAAAAAGGACAGCTCAGCAAGCTGACGGGCCGTGTCGGCTGCCGTCATTGGCGAGATGTCATCGAGTGGGGCTGGCTGGTCATGCGGAGAGACACTCATTTGTGTGTGTGTGTGTGTGTGTGTAGTGGGCGGGCGACAGGCAGAGCGAGAGAGTTGTGTCTCGGCAGCACATCGATCGCATACATGTGTCTGTGTATTTATTGTACACCCGGCGAAAGAGGGAGGAAAGAGACTATGTATGCAGCAGAGCCGTACAGGCCAGTCATGGGTGTATTCATGGTTTGCAGAGTGAAATGTGCACGTGAGCAATATGCAGAAGGCAAAGCAGCAACGCGACAAGGTCATTCCCAGCAAGGCGAATAATGCGAACAATCCCCAGCGCACACCACACGTGCAGTGCCTCCCACACACACTCGAAGCAAAAGAACGCAACAGGACGTCGAAAAGGTCGACAAAACACATGCAAGGCACGTATGCATGAAGGCGTGCAGCACAGCAAGGCCTACGAGTAAAGAGTGAGTGTGCAGCGACACTAGCTACATGATGCCAGGCAGTGGCTGGGTGGGATGGGCTGCACGGCGTCGAAGATCTTGATCTCGTCCGCCCAGTGGAGGGCTGTGTGGGGGACAATTGTTTACTGGATGCATCCTGAAGCCTTTAGTACAAGAGGTCTCTCTCACTCATTCATTCACACAGACACGTTGCGATAGCACCACTGTCCGTCTGTCCGTCCATGGATGATACTCATGTGTCTGTCTCGCTGTCTCGCGTGTCTGTGTTACTGTATGTGGTTGTGTGTGTCCCACCGCCGGCTGTGTAGATCTAGATGCCCTTCTCCAAATCCGTCAAACTGCACACACACGACACGACCCAACCAACCCGTCTCACAACTCGGCGTGTGTGTGGTTGAGTTGCTGTTTGGTGTGGGTGAGCTGCGCCGCGAGTGTGGACTCGACCTCACGCACACGCATCAGCTCGTCAGACAACTCACTCACCTACACGCACACAAACACATACAGCGAGAGAGAGAGAGGTGTCAATGGCTGTGTGTGCTGTCTGTGTGTCTGTTTGTGACCTTCTTGTTGTGTTGCTGCTGGAGTGGTTTGATTTGTGCGTGATGTTGTTTGTTGAGGCTGGCCATCTGTCGGTCCCTCTGGGTGCGCGGATCGTGGAGGGCCGCGGATGCATTCTCGATGAAGCTCTTCTCGTGCGCCTCCACGGCATCCGCCCGACAAGCCAACGAACACAACACACCCAACTCTGACATCCACACACACACACACACACACACAGAGAGAGAGAGAGAGAGAGAGAAAGGGAGAGAGAAGTGTGAATAAGCAGCCAGTGTTGCTTTTTTTAATCGAGCAGCTCTTTGTGCCGCTCCTCTCCCTCCCGGATCTGCCGGCGGGCGGCGATGAAATATAGAATATCATGTTAGAGACACAGATAGCATAGCCATCGATCGATTAGCATGAGGGATTCAGATTAGGCAATAGTGACAGGTTTTTGCATCAGACTTGACACATATGAGAAGTGCAAAAACCTGTCTGATGACCGACACGCAAAAAAAATTGTCTTATAAGTACGACAGAAAAGAAAGGTCAGACGCAGCAGCGTCCTCCACCCTTCCACGCGACCCGCTCTCATCTCCTGATGGCTTTTCCTCCTGCAGGCCCTGGACAAAGTCGCTTCCCAAGACTCGCCGCTCGGTTTTGGTCTCAAGGTACCTCCTTTTGCGGCTGTCTCGAGTGTCAGATATGGATCGCTTCCGGTGATCCATCCCCTCTTCCTTCTCTGTCGGCT